GGTGGGAGGAGTACCGTATTTTGAGAGTCTGGAAGATTGAAAATAACATCCGCGTGGATTGATGTGACTTTAAAATACACGCAGTAACTTACAGATGTGTGGCTAAAGAATATGTGTTATGAGGAAAACTGACTTGATTTTACTGCATTGAGAAGATTCATAATAAAACTAGCTCGCATTTATGTAATATCTCTCACGTTGTGGAGATGTCGCAAAGCGCTTCACGGAATATATGGTAAGTGCAATGACTGTGTATTGTGTGGGCGAAATGCGGCAGCTAAATTTGGATTGGGAGGGGAATATAAACCAGATTAACTGGGAGACAAACTCCATTTCACAAGCCACTTGAGTCACAAGGCAGTTGGAATCTAAAAATGAAAAAGATTGGGACAATCAGCTGGACATAAATCACAAAGGTTGATGCTGCTGTGTGGACAAGCGTAGCAGCTGATCTGTACCAGCAATGTCCCACTAACAAGTGAACTTCAACATTGAGGGAAAGGGAAAAAGAAAACAAGGGAAGATAAAGAAAAATGGGGAAAATAAAATGGAAGACAGAGAAGTAGGGATCCCAGCTTAGGGTGAATGAGAGCCAATGCTCACATGTGGAGAGCATTAAAAGCCTGAATCAGTGATGCAAACTACAGTATTTTAAGGAATAATATTTCCTACAATTATTTCCAATTGTATATAGGTTCAGTTCATTATTTTGTTGATTCATGCAATGTTTATTTCCAAAGAGCGTGTTTGCCAACAGTTCTAGATTACAACTATCTGGTTACATGATTAGTTACAAGAGAATAGGCATTGCTATTGGAAGCTCAATCTGCATATGACAAACATTACCCACTGTTTATTTACCTGCAGGATGTGTACTTACATGAAAGCCTTTTGGCAGAAGATTTCCTTTCAATGATCATCATTTCAAGTGATTTAATGATTTAATCTGAACAAGTTGCTAATAGCCACTTTTCTGCTGCGCTCCTCACACAGGGCAGCATCCCAGAGCGCTGGACAGGGGTGGAGCTCGACGCTGAGCCGGGGGGAGGGGGAGGTGACCGAAGGCACTGGTCGAAGTGGAAGGTCTTCAGGCGCGACCTGAAGATGGGGAAGGAAGGGGCGAGGAGAGAGAGGGAGAGAGGGAGAGAGTCCCAGAGTTTCGGGACGAAGTGGCTGAAAGCGTAACCGCCGATGGTGGAGCGCAGGGCACGAGGGACAAGCAGGAGACCGGAGCCAGTCGAGCGGAGGCAGCGGGTGGTGGGTGGGGAGGAGCAGGTCGGAGAGGGAGGGAGGTACCCAGGGCAGGTTGGGATTTACATATAGCTGATCTTTCTTTTGTCTAAATTATTTACCCAATATTAAAACCTTTGCTTGTGTGCACCGAAACAGGAACAGCAATTGTCCACTCCACCACCATTACTAAAGCTCTTTTCGAAACTGATCCTGAATACTGCTGCGTATTCCATATTCTGGGTTGGTCCAGTGTGTGTGGCAGATCAATCATCACTGGAGCAGCTTTCCTCCTGTATCTGGTCTAAGAAATCCTGTCAAATCCTATTATGTGTAACAGTTCGGGAAAAAGGAGACTTTTTTTAGGTTTAACATTTAAGTTTGCATCTGTCCTTTTCTAACTTTAAAATCCAGTTCAAAACGTTTTGTGTATTCAACCTTCTTTCTCTTTTCTTCCTCCAGGTTCCATTCTGAAAAGTAAGCAGCTTCTTTTTCAACATAAAAAGACAAAAAAAAAAGGCATTTCGTTGTCTGAAAAGTATCTTGAAATGCTGATTATTTAGCCACATATTGACTATGAATGTGATCGTACGTTTTTGAATCTCTTATTCCATTATTGAGGTGCAAACATTGATTTAATGTTAAGATTTTACAATAAACTATTCTTTTAAAGGATGAGCTAACATTACAATGGCAATAAGTGGTTAGAATGAATATAATCACCTACAAAATACAGTCAATTCACTTTACAGTATATTGTGTGAAGTGCTTTGAGACATCTCAAAAACATGATAAGGCGCTGTTATCAAATGCAAGATTTATTATTGTTATTATTATCTGTAGGATATTATATATTATTTACCTGTAATACACGATGAAATTACAGGCAATCATTTCCCCAGTTTATATACGGTCCAACCCTTCAAAATGCTCCACAGTGGGACGAGAAGAGTCAGGTTTAATACCGTTCCATCTGTGCAGACTGCTGATTCTGCTGTCTAATGTGTTGATGTGAGTGTGTGCTCACACGCCCTGATTGTGAGTCAGATTTTAGTACACCCAAACGCAAAGTAATACGTATCAGGAACAAAAAAATAGCCTATTCCAGGGTACAATAAAAATGACTAATAATAAAAGTAAGACTGTTTAAAGATAAAATGGGCAGTAAATTAAGAATACTTTGTGGTTGCAGTTAATGATGGATTTATAATTGAGGATTACTGTTTCTATATTTTCCACTTTTGCTAAATCCAATTAACGTTGACTATAGTATGTGGTCTCTCACATAATGCTCTCCGAAACCAATGATATTATTGTTATTAAACCTTTGGGACCATCATGTGACAGTGTGATGAAAGGCATTAAATAAATTTTATTCCGCTTTTATTCTGTGGCAAAGTGCAATAATCTCAACACTCACAATGCCTCATTGCAGAACAGATTGGAATAATTTCTACTGTTAGCTTAAAAAAAAAGCTGCTGAACAGAATTTTTTTGAGCGTCCTTGAAAGCTTTTGGTTTCCTGGCAGTTTTCCTCATGGCGAACTCAAAAGACTTACCATTTTTAAAGAAACAAAAATAATAAGAAGATTCAATTGAATAAATCGACCAGTGAATTGACCATTGCGTCATAAAATAGTTCACTGGTTTTACAGGTTTTTATCAAACTTCGGTTCCGAAGACATTCTTTTTTGGGTTCAGACGGATGTCTGACGCGTGTGGAAACCCATCATCGTGCTTAAGAGAATCCAAACCAAACTGAGAACTTCATGCCTCCCACCTACACGTGGACTAAAACATTAAATGCTGACACCTTTAAAGGTAAATCCCTATTTCCGTTTTATAGATGGACACAGGTTTATACTAAATTTGGATAAAATATTCTTGCTGATTTTCTTTTATAGGCACATTAATAACCCTTTTATTTCTCAGCATGGCCATAGATGAGTGACTTACACATTTCAAGGCAAATTGAGTGAAGCATATTTAAATTCCTATTGTCAACACAAGACTAATACAATTATTACCTTTGCCTTTATTTTAAAGAAACAAGTAGATGATCAGAAACAGGCATTTAAGTTAGTTAACTCCAGTTAAATATACTTAGTTAATTTTTAATTATTAAGTTTATTACAGTAGTCATTGTATACAAACACACTCTTTTTTTGATCAGTATACTGTAAAAGGATTAGAAGACAGTAAGTTGACCACATACTTTTCAAGGACAGAGTAGCTGAGAACGGTTAAAACAGAAGTCAAAGTCTATAAAAAGCCCAATGTTTTGGTCTGATGGTGCAAAGCTACTGGATGGCAAAATATAGAATAATGGCAGTTTGTGAATAAATGAATAATGATGAAAACCTTGGTTTACTGTGACCAGATCCATCTGATTTCCTGGCTTTGATGGAAGACTTCATTGAACCCTAATCGCTTGCAGTGATTTGCAATGCCTGCATTGGAAATGGTTGCACGGATTCATTTGATACAGTGCCTTATCACGTCTTTGAGTCGTCTCAAAGTGCTTCACAGATTATGCTGCAAAGTGAATTGACTGTATATTTTACGGGCAAAGCGCGGCAGCCAATTGTGCACAGCAGCGTCCTACAAACAGTCGTGATTGAGTGACCAAATTATTATTTTTTGTCAAGGGATTATTTCCCTGGAAAAGCGATTCGACAATCAACTAACACTCGGGTTCCTACTTACTGCTAGGTAAACGGAGGAGTGTGGGGTAAGGAAACTTAACCAACGTTTCGCCCTGACCCGGGAATCAAACCCAGGTCCTCGAGCTTGCGAGCCAGGTGCTCCAACCACTGAGGACCACTACAGGACTCCACATAGAAACCAGAGAGGTCCCATGTTCCATTCTGGGCCTGTCCTGATAGTTAATTTCAGCCTGGTCAGCTGAAAAGAGCCCTCAAGCTCCTCTTTAGCTTTGGAAGAGGATAACGTATTCAGTTAGCTTGATGGATGATGCATGTTTGGATATTGAGAAAGAACAGGCCTGGGCTTTGGTTACGATTGCCGCTTACTCCCCACAATTAAATGACTTGCTGAGTCTGGCTTGCTTGGCTCACAGATAAAAAACTGTCTGCCAGGATAAGGTTCTGGAGGTGCTACTGAACCACATCTTTGGATAAGTCAGTTCTAAACACAGATGGTAATCAATCAATGACCAGAATGGTTTGGTTGCTAAGAAGGCTGCTTGAGGTCACGATATTGGACTCAATTAAGAAATAGCTTGTTGCTAAAATGGGATGACAGTAGGCAAAGTAAGGAAGAGAACAAATGTGACGAACCTGCCTTGCCATTTCGTGAAAATAATTACCAGGAAATCCACTGCACAATATAAATAATAAAATAATAATCCTTGCATTTGATATAGCGCTTTTCACGTCGGGAGAGGACGTCCCAAAGCGCTTCACGGAACACACTGTAAAGTGAATTGACTGTATATTTGTGGGCGAACACGGCAGCCAATTGCGCACAGCAATGTCCCACAAACAGTCATAGATTGAAATGACCAATTTATTACTGTTTTTTTGGTTTTGGAGGGATTATTATTAGGCTCTGTGTGGAGTAAGGAAACTTGCCCAAGGTTTCGCCCTCTGCCTGGAATTGAACCCAGGTCTCTCGCTTGCAAAGCGAGTGCTCTAACCACTGAGCTACAGGACTCCACTATATAACCTGGAAGTTCAGGAACTTCAGATGTGAGAAATCTAATTTATTCTTAAAATGCACAAATATACAAAAATAGTTTTTTTCTCCCTCTATTCTTCACGTAGATTAAAAATTAGCCAAATGTATTTGCAAGATTGATCTATAAATGACATCTGTACAATGCCAAGCCAATAAAAGTTCACACCGAGTCAGTTATTATGTACAATAAAAAAAAAGTCACCTTTATTGTTAGCTTTGTTTTTGTAATGCAGTCTTACCATTATTTGTGGTAATAGTAGCATTATCCTGCATGCAGTTCACTAATACACTACTAGTCAATAGGCTTTAATAAAAGGAGTTTACATTGAACTTTCACTTTGTGTAAGAACACACAAAAATCACCTGGATGCAATTAAACAAGTCCATCATTGTTGATCTGGTGAAAAAGACTGGGGGGAGGGGGGCATTTTCCATTGAGAACAGTTCTAGTGCAACATGAATCATTTCACAAGACAGAAAAGTCTGCAGAAAGGACACAGTATAAAGCAGTATAAAGGATTAAAGATGTTGTGGCAATAATAACAATTTTCTCAACATTTTCAATGCAGGCAGTGCTTTAGATTTGGATATCTGTCTCGTTCCCAGTTTCCAACGATCACTCCATAGAAGCAAGTGAATCATGATCCCAATTCTGCCCCCAACTGAATGTTGGCTTATACTAAAGGCATACAGTAAAGGAAATGAAAGCCCCAAGAATTAATTATCCCTTTTTGTTTCTTTTGGGAAGTTCATTGATGAAAAAGTGCTATGGATGAAAGTAAGAAAAGTTTCCAGTACTGACCTGAAATAATTATCATTAGCTTTTGTTTCTTTTAAAATATATGTACAAAAATGCAGAAAAGTAAATTAAAATGATTCTTTACAGTATGTATATTTTTCTTTAGAAAATTCAAAACCACGTATTTTTGAGCATTTTAAGCAGACTGCAACATACTCTGTACAAGTTCTGGTTTTACCACATACAGTAGTCCACTTGGTTTGGGAAACTAAAAAAGAACGAGTGAACGAAAGTGTTTTTAATGAGTAGCAAACTATTACTAACGAGATGGAGACATGAGATTGTAGTGAACAAATTCTCACGTGATCACTGGTTTATGGCTTCCCATATTTCAATGACTTCTGGACACTGGAAGGAACAGCGTACAAAGCAGCGTAGGCAATTAACATGCATCAGTGATAGCGACCAAACTATTTATAATGATACAGAGCACATCATCTCACCCGTCAGAAGCTCGCAAACTAGATGTAACGTGGTGTCTATTTGATGAAACAAAAAAAATAAAACAGTGGTCAGGCCATCTTTTTGCCCCACAAGAACCACAGAGTGAAACAGCACAGCTATTTACGCAACCGAGTTGTTTTTTTTTTGATTTGCCACGTCAATTGTCAACCTTACTGAGCGCTGAAGATGGCTAAACAACACTGCAGGAATAAAAGCGGAGCAATTTCTAGTGTAGCTCAACTCCGGCCAATTCTGGTTTGCTGAGCAAATCTCTTCTGGCCTTCTCCGTTTTTAATCCATTCATTCGTGTCAATACAAAACCGACACACAGTAATTGTCCCAGCAGAACATGGACTTAAATCGCATCTGCTCAGAGTCTGTGAATGACCCACGTAAAAATAACCTGCCAAATACCAGTTTGTAAGTAACAGTAACAGGCACGTATTAGAACTGTTCCAATATAGCACGACACACTTTAGTAAAGCACCTCGGAACTTAAGAGCCATTCTGAAACACTTAATAGATTTTTTTTTCCTTAAAATTGACTCATGGGTTAATGATTTTTTCATGCACAATGGATGAGTGCAGCATGCTTCCATGCAAGACACTTTTGTACATGTTAAACAAACACTTGATTCAAAACCTCCAGCCTGATATCCTCTTCCCTTAATGGTCGTTCTCGACACCTCTTCCCGTTAAACATAAAAAGCCCCATTTAGAAAAATAGACAGGAAAAGTAAACGAGTTGTGAATTAGAAAACATATGAAAAATGTCTGTCAAAGCTTTCTGGTGAAACCATGGGACTGTAAGCGGCTTGGAATGCGAGATATTAAGGGTAAAATATACCGACGTTGTACATTTAAATGAAGCACAGACATTTTAAGTAACGTTTCCTGGTCCCTTTGTCCATCTGATCCGTACAGTCTTTTAGCCATTTTGACACACTCTCCCCTTACAGCAGTGTCAGCTGGCAGTGGGAACAGTAACCTCTCGTGCAGACTGCTGCCTCCTCTCTGCTGTAGAGAGTCACAGTATCTTGACGAGGGTCACTGGCTTGGTTTAGGCCCTGACCTTACAACATTAGACATGTCAGTTTGGCTTAGATCTCCAAATGGAGTCCAAATGTTGACACAATTGGGTCACACCTTCAAAGGCTGTAAACAATATTGCATCACAACTGGAACTTATGTTGATTTTTTTTTGTTTGTTTGGGTTTTGGTGGGTTTTTACTTTTTATACTCCCTGACATATCTGATTCTGTCATCTTTTTCTTTCTCCTCTCTGTCATTTTCCGGTTTGGTTACGCTATCGTAAGATGGCGGAGAGGTGGTGGAAGGAGTTACATCAGTTTTTTCTGTGGTGGAGTTTTCGTTAAATTTATCGATCACCATTTCTTCTTTGCCCGGCAGAAGCTCTCCCCCTTTGCCTTTCTCCTTGAACATAAAAGAGGCTTGTTTGACTGTTCGCCGTATCAGATAGCTCCTAAAAGCTTTCTGGATTATGGTGGCCGACACAGCTTCCTGTTTGCGACGTAGAGTAGTTGTAATTGGCTCGTAAGATACCTTAGAAGGGTTGGATGCCATGAATCGATCTTCCATTTGCTGTCGAAGGGCATCCATCTCCCCACCCTCACCCAGCACGCGTTTGGTGAATGCAAACAAGATGTCGAGGCAATGGATTCTATTCCCACTCACCATGGGCAGGTCCATGGCTATAAGCTGTACCTTGTTCGGTTTCGCTACACGGAGAGGTGGCTCCAAGGCATCAGCAAAATCGTGCAATTTACCGTACTCCATGAACTGGGTTGCATCCGAATCGAACTTCTCCCACACTTCATAAAACATCTCAAAGTCGTCCTCACTCAGAGGCTCAGCGCTCTCTTCCATCGCAACACTGAAGTTCTCCAAAATGATGGCGATGTACATGTTTATGACGATCAAGAAGGATATGATGATGTAACTGACGAAGAAGAAAATGGCCACCGGCGGGTTTCCGCAGTCTCCTTTGACGGAACTGCCGGGGTGATGTTTTTGGGGGTCACAATCGGGAGGCCCGCTGTTCAGGTTTGGAGCCAGCAAAGCGTCCCAGCCTGCTGAGGTGGTGATCTGAAACAGGCAAATCATACTGTTTCCGAAGGTTTCAAAGTTGAACAAGTCATCGATTCCGGACTCCCTCTTCACGTAAGAGAAGTTGGACATTCCAAATATGGCGTAAATGAACATGACCAGAAACAGCAAGAGTCCGATGTTGAACAAGGCAGGAAGGGACATCATCAAGGCAAACAGTAAGGTACGGATTCCTTTCGCGCTCTTGATTAAACGGAGGATCCGGCCAATTCTGGCAAGTCTGATAACTCTGAATAATGTCGGCGACACAAAGTATTTATCAATGAGGTCAGCTAAGAACATGCCTAAAAGAAAAATATAAGATATTTGAGAAGTTGTGTCACTTTTGCCTATCAGCAACTTAATATATTACATACAAAACATCAAATCTGCTGTGTGTCTTAAGGCTGAATATTGACTTCTCTCAAAAGTTGTTATCAAATCTAACAATATCAGAAGTAAGGGTTGCCAGCTTTTATATTACAGCATTTCCTCGCACAGAGTTAGAGGTATTCTCACACGTTAACTTTCGATTCTTAACAACATTAATTATTACTATTGTTGTTATTATTACAATGCATTATGTTAGACCTCATCAAAGCAGCACATTCCATTCTAAGGTCAGGCAGTTCTTCATGAATTTAAACATTCAAAGATTTGAAACTCGCCTTTGACACAATAGGTTACAAACGATTCTTACCTATGACGGAAAGTATGACGACCACAAAGTCAAATACATTCCAGCCTAATGTAAAGTAATAATAGCGAAGTGCTATGAGCTTAAGCACGCACTCCGTGGTGAAGAGGACAATGAAGATAACGTTGATCAAATATAAGATGTTATCCGTTTCTTTACTCTGGAGATCGGTCTCCACCATCATGGTGACCATGTTAAGGCAAATGAGAATCATGATCAATATATCAAAGACTTGCTTTGTCACCAAGTCAAACACCATCCCTTGGATTTCGTTCTACAAAAAAAACAAGGTGAAAGAACATATTTTACACCTTAATTATTCCTAGCAGTACAGACGGATACTACCCTTTCTCTTTCTGTCCTGTCCTACCGATGTATTCTTTACGTACCAGTAAACAGGCTTTAAGCATGTATATATAACCGGGAATGTAATTCAATACATTATTAATTGAAAGCAGGCCAGTAAAACAGCTCAACTGCACTCAGTGTACACATTTCTGCCCGCAAAGTAAGCTATTCCCTTGCTAATGCACTGGAAAATTGTTGCTTTAAATGTTAAAAATGTTGGCGAGGAAAGAATGATTTAGCAAACAATATCCTGGTCTGAAAAAGCCTTTATTCGATTGTAATCTATAAAAAGTTAAGACATAAATGACTTAAGTCAACTGCTTCCCACTGAGATCACAAATACCGTAGTCTTAAAGTGCTGAAAAATACAATTAAAATAAGTTTGTTTTTACTTTGCACAGATTGTGTCATTGGTGGTAATATTTGAATACCAGAATAGGTGTTGCTATATATCTCATTGTCTATCTAGAGATTCACTACCAGGAAATGGGGACTTTAATGATACAATAATGCACTGTTTTCTCGTTTCATAATGGCTACTTCTGAACCTCCACATGTGTACATATCTACTTAACAATGTCAATTATCAATCACACTATCACTCTCCACAACAACAACTTGGATTCACGTGGGGTAGCATCCCGGAGCGCTTGAAAGTGGCAGAGTCTGATCCCGAGCCAGGGGGAGAGGGAGGGGGGGAGGTGACCGTACGCACGATCAAAAAAGGATGGTCTTTGGGTGAGATTTGAAGATGGGAAGGGAGGGGGCGAGGCGGAGGGATTGAGGGAGAGAGTTCCAGTGGCTGAAGTCATGGCCACTGGCAGTACAAGTGGATGTAAACTCAAGTTTGGTGGATGTAACAAACATCTCTGTGCTTCGTGCAGTTACAGGGAAGTTTGCTATAAACAAAGGCCACTCTTACCATAGGTCTAGGAATCGGCTTCTGTGGTTTCTTGGAGCCCAGCTTTTTCATTGCATTGTAATACTTCTTCTGCTCTTCAGTCATGAAAATGTCCTGACCTCCAAAGTAAAGGGATAAAAGCAAAATTGGTGACAACCACGTACACCGCTGAGAATTGGCTAATTTTCATGACATCTAGTAGATTTTTGATGAATTATACACAGAAAAATATAATAATAATGAATAATAATCCTTGGATTTGATATAGGGCCTCATCATGTCTCAAAGCACTTCACAGAAGATACTGTGAAGTGGATTGACTGTGTATTTTGTGGGCGAAACGTGGCAGCGAATTGTGCACAGCAGCGTCCCACAAACAGTCTTTGAGACATCTCAATGACGTGATAAGGCGCTGTATCAAATGCAAAGATTATTATTAATATTGGGTGTCAGTTTTGAGTCTAATCATTGGGATACAATCAGGTGGTATGGGTTCACCCTCATCACCAGGTATTGACAGACAGAATTTCCAACAAAGGAATAACTCCCTTCATGTTGGATTTTTCACCCCTTTTTGCAACAAAATATTTCTGATCATTACTAAACAAACAGGTGGTTCACATTAACAAACCTCTTCACTCCTCTCCTGTTCATCTACCTCACTGAGTGGAAGTATACAATTGTAAAGCTTGTAGCTTTAGGTACATAACACTCACAATTCTGTTTCACCATCTCAATTACCCGCATCAATTAATGCTGTTATGGTTATTTCATCTTCTATTTGTGCTGTTCTATTTATATTGTCAAATCTATCCGTATATTCAAATTGACTAGGCTTTAATTCTTGAAAGCCTTAAGCCCTGTACATTTCATCCTTACAGTCCGAACAGATTAATTCTTCAAGACTGCGCTTTTATATTCGTTTATATCGATCAAACCAAACTTTGAAATGTTTATTACGGTAAACGATGAACCGTTAAACTGGGTTTGCTACATTTCTTGCCATTTCACGTCATCACATTTTGTTAGTCAAACTTAAAGAGTTTCTTTATGTAATAGAAGAAAATATATACATACAGAGGAGCCCTTTCTATAATGCAGTGTTTGGAAACCAATCAAAATATATGCTGTAGCCAGAGGGAACGTTGTAAATGCATCTCATTCAGTATATCCTACTTTTCAATGTAAAAGTCTGGAAGCTCCACAGTATTTGAGACGGACTTGGCTACTATAGTTCTTCTCTCTCCTGTTATTGCCCTTAATTCTGTTATTGTCTTGCTGTCACAGAGAAGACAGAATTGGATAGACAGGAGAAAGAGACTAAAAAAAATGAACAGAAGAGAGAAAAATAGATCAGGTACACGGAACAGGGAAAAAAAACAGGAGAATAAAACTACACGCAAACAGAGAATCAGATAAGTAAGAGTGGAAAAGTCATCAGCAGGAAACAAAGAAAGGAGAACCAGGTTTACAGAACACAGGAGAATAACAGATACTATAGTCAGAAACACAGATCTCAAAGCAAACTTCAAACAGAGAGCGAGTCAAGATCCAGGAAACAGAGAAAGGAGTTTCAGATTTGAGCAACAGAGAATCAAATGCACAAAACGGTGTTTCTGGTAAAACATACACAGGAAACAGAGTAGACAACAACAAGATTGCATTTATAGAGCGCCTTTCACATCGGGAGGACGTCCCAAGGCGCTGGACAGTTGGGCCGGGACCCGAGCATTGAGGGGAAATGGTCAGGGTGAGGGGAGGGAAGGGAGGGAGCGAGGAGGGGGGAAATGGTCAGGGTGAGGGGAGGGAAGGGAGGGAGCGAGGAGGGGGTAGAGAGTCGAGAGGGGAGCTGAAGGCTGAAGGTCAAAGAGAAAGGTCTTGAGACCGGCCTTGAAGGAGGATAGGGAGGAAGCGGCGAAGGCACTGGGGATAGAGTTCCAGAGCCTCGGGGCTGAGAGGCTGAAGGCCACCGATAGTAGGGCGGTTGGGGCGGGGGTGTGGAGCCGACCGGAGCCAGAGGAATGGAGGGTATGGGCGGGTAAGTAGGGGGATAGTAGGTTGGAGAGGTAGGAGGAGGTAGTAAACGTGGTAGAGATCAACAAAGTATCAGGTGCATCAAATGAAAGATATCTGGTGGACATCACAGAGGATAAGGGATTGAATGGATGGATTTGGGTAACAAGATTAGGTGGAAGGTTGCACAAGTCAGCAAGACAAGACAAGACTGAGAGAGAAGTGATTTTAGCGGCAAAACAGGCAGGAAGACACATGGTCAGAGAAAGACCTTTGGGTAAATGCAAAGATGTTGGCTGAAGTATCTAAAGATGGACAACAGAAAGAGCTTGATTGTCATTGTCATTCCAGACAATCCGAAGAACAGAAAAAAAACCTCCAGATTTGGGACAAGGAGGAAAGAGGGCATTGGCATAGTCTGTGCAACAGAGAAGGTGATTACTGCTGGGTAGGGCTACAGGGTACATGGACATAGATAAAAGCGGTAGGAAAGTGAGTGTGGCTTCAGAAGGGGAGTGGAATGCGTTGAACAGATATGGACCCTTGGACAGATAGACGATTGAACACTGCATTAGATAGCTTCCCTGTGACTCTGCTTAAGTGAAGTCACAAGAGAAAATAATACAGCCAACAACGAAACAAGGGATAGCTACCCAGACACACGATTTGGACCCGAAGAGCAGCAAATCAAAACACACCGAACAGAGAAACCACCACACGAACCAGAAATTCTAGCGACAAAATCTAGAACAGACACGCAACAAGATTCCTTCGTCTCGAACAGATTCACAACACAGATACATACAAGTAGGCGGAAGGGGTTCATTAAAGAAATTCAGGTCAGCGCAAGGAACTCGCACAAGAGAGCAAAAACTGAAACGAAAGCTTAAAAAAGAAACCGAACAGAGAAAGAGACTGAAAACAGCACAGTTTTAAAACTGGTTCAAAATACAAGAAATGCTATAAAGGAGAGAATTGTTCTGCCTCACTCTCAATGCAGAATTTATTGAACCGAATTTGCTATTTTCTACAATTGTTCCTTTTGGAAAATGTTAGTTCCTAATCTTCAAAGGTTAAATCAGTGACCATTCAAACACTGCATTATATTTATAACTAAAGACAGCAGTTGATAAGAGAGAGTGGAATAACAAATCATTCGATGATTTTCAAAGGTGATTTTGTTTTTAGTAATTAAAGAGGTAAATACATTCAATATTTCACAAATCAAATAGGAGGTGATTAATAAGGAGAAAGATAATCTACCAGTATATTTTGTCAAGCATGCTTTCATTTTAAAAAATAATTTTCAATCGCTTTCCTGTAAGCTATAATTATCGGCATTGTATTTCAGATATGATCATTACCCTTTGTAGTTTTCTAGATAATAATAGACAGTCAGCATCACATATCACATTACTTGATAGAAAACATACAATCTAAAGATTTAGGGGGACAAAAAAGGTTAACTATGCCTTCTTTTCCATCCTTGTATTAAACCCATTTTGAGTGATTTTCAGAGAAGTTTCATTCCCGCTGGGGAATCAAATGATATTAGACATTAGAGTACACAGACATTGCCAGTAAAGATGGCCTTATTAGCACTATCTTCTCAATCCCAAACCATGATCTACATAAGCAAACAATTGTCTTTTTCTCTCTGTGGATTGCGAGTGACGACTAACATCTGAACTTGAAGTTTATCTTTACCATTTGCACACACGACCACTGGCATTTACACGGTGCCGGTCACACAGGGCAGCGTCCCAGAGCGCTTGACAGTGGTGGAGCCGAGCCGGGGGGAGGGGGAGGTGACCGTAGGCACGATCGAAGAGGAAGGTCTTCAGGCGCGACCTGAAGATGGGGAAGGAAGGGGCGAGGCGGGGGGGATAGAGGAAGAGCACTCCAGCGTTTTGGGGCGCAGTGGCTGAAAGCCCGGCCACCGATGGTGCAGCGGAGGGCACGAGGGACAAGTAGGAGGCCGGAGCCAGTCGAGCAGAGGCAGTGGGCTCAGGGTGAACACATACAACAAAGCGAGTACCTAGATTCAATTGTAAAAAAAAAAAAAAATGAACTCTTCCCGCGTTAAAGCGATGCTCTCTATCCTTTGGCTGCAGTTGGGAAACAAACATTTTTCATAAGATTCTCAGTGAGAAATAAAAGAGTTTAAAAAGTGATATTTCGACCTGGATTCCTTCATTCAAAATCTCACTGTTGCACCACAATTCAGGAGGGAATTAGATTTACACTTTGTGACATCCTTCTGATGTGAAAGGTGCTTATATATTGGTGTAAACTGTGTTGTATCGCATCTCAACAGAATTTGTATGGGCTAACATGGGCAGAATATATTATATTTACCCCAGGTCCCCATTTGCATCACACATTTTTAGACCCTAAAATATTTTCTTCCCCCTGAGAAATTGCTACTCTGAGCTGGAACAAGATCAAAAAATAGTTATGCTGTTTCCATTGCTATTCCATGTAAAGATATAATGATCTTTCAGAGTTCACGTTTCCTGTAAACAATAATATTAGTAATGTTTATTTTCTCCTGTTAAAAATAACTTATCTTTTTTTTCTGCTGGTTGAAGTTATCGATGATGACACCAATAAATAGGTTCAAGGTGAAGAACGATCCGAAGATGATGAAGATCACAAAATAAAAATACATATACTGGTTCGCTTCATATTTAGGCTGCAGTTCCAGCTGCAGAAAGAGATCAGTTAAAGTTAAACACTTACAACGATTTGGAAGTAAACAAACATCTGTGGTTAATGGTTTGCCCTATTTTCCCAATAATCATGTTATTAAACATTTCCGGGGATAATAATCCTTCCAGAAAATAATAATAATTTGGTCACTCAATTCACGATTGTTTGTGGAATGGATGTCGCTGTGCGCAGTTGGCTGCTGCGTGTTTCACCCACAAAACACACAGTCACTGCACTTTGCGGTGTATCCTACGAAGCGCTTTGAGACGTCTTGAAGACGAGATCAGGCGCTGTATCAAATGCCAGGATTATTATTACTGTTCATTATAAAGGTATTGTGGAGTTTGACAAAACTGTGCTATTTGGTGGAAGTGATCACACAAGAAAACACTTATTCGCTGAGTCCATTAAAAACGGTCAGAAAGTAAATCGCCTCCATCAAAATGGCCTTCGATGGGTTGCAGGGCACCAATTTCTCCCCAGAAGTTTTGTGACAGTTTTGTAGTCGATCCTGCCATTTTGACAAGCGATTTGTAGATTTGCAAACATTCTGTCTTCCTGAAACACTCTCGGGATTTCCCACTCACATCACTGAGCACAGAGCTGTCTGTGGTTTGGGAACCTCTCGCACTGCCTTTACTGAACAGTATGATTCAAAGCAAAAGCGTTGCTCACAAATCAGCGTGGCTGCCCGTGGTATTCATTAACACACACTGCTAGTCTGTACATCTCCCTTCACAGAGAGCTGGACAGCAGAAGCATCAAGCTGTTGTTATTTACCCACAAACATAATAATTAGAGCACAGTGCTATTATTGGAACGCAGCCTGCACACGTGGCTGATCTTTTTGTTACATCGCTGAATTTCTCTAACTTCCCCGATCCTAGCTTGTTAATAAGTGCAACACTGCCGTCAGTCATATTTTTGCAGGAATATACGTCAAAAAAAGTCAATTCGCTTTACAGTACATCCTGTGAAGCTCTTTGAGACGTCTCGAAAAGACGTGATCAGGCGCTGTATCAAATGCAAGGATTATTATATTACAGGTGGCCGTTTGTTAGATATAAGCATTCTGACCGCGATTTCTCTCTAGGTTGGGAATGGTGGTGTGTTGACTAGTGGCCTGTGCTCAGTTCCCGGCATCAGTTTCTTGATTAGCGGATGGATGTCTGCCCAGACATCTCTCAACAACGCTGCCAGCATTTTCCTATCAAACCCAGTTGTCAATCTCCCTCTGGGATGTGAACCTTCAGGGATGGGGAAGCTTTCTCTGGCCTCTTAATCCTCCAGCCCACGCTGACTTGGCAACAACCAACTGCATGTGATTGCTGAATACCATTGAATGTTGGTGACTTAGCAGGTAGGCATTTGGGTGCAGTAGACTGTACTAGTTATCTGATCATAGCATTTATGTTAAGTCAACCGCACTAGATTACTACACTGTGCCCTGGAGTATACTTTCAGCGCATCTGTGACTCTTCGACAGGAATGTTTACATCATAGATTTTGTTTTCCCCCTTGGACAATTATTTAATTTGCTTTGGTATTATTGCACCGCGTTCAAATGCGCAAATAACATTCTTTTCAATGACTGGCTCACCACTTTTACGTCAATCAGTTAATATACAAGGAGAGGGTCAAATATCGAGAGCATTACTTTCGTAAGTGGTATCAATTGTCAACCGGATTAATTTCAATTTTTTTTTAATCTCAAGCAAAATGTCTCTGATTATAAGCCCGGTTGTATACTTACACCACGGGAATCCACAGCAGCATACATAATCTCCATCCATCCTTTGAATGTCGCCTAAATGTGCCAAACAAACAATAGCTTTCAATACAAACTGTAAAACTACAAAGTCAAAGCAATAACAAAAACTTAATTTTTCCCAACGAAAAGTGCAAGAAGTACACGTCTTGAAGACGTGATGAGGCGCTACATCAAATGCAAGGATTATTATTATTATTATCAACATTTCTAACATTGCATCAAATGAAAACTCCCTGCTCTAATTCATCCACAAAACATTTCAAAGATTTTTTTCTGCAATAATAATAATCCTTGCATTTGATACAGTGCCTTATCACGTCTTTGAGACGTCTCAAAGCGCTTCACAGAACATACTGTAAAGTGGATTGACTGTATATTTTGTGGGCAAAACGCGGCAGCCAATTGTGCACAGCAGCGTCACACAAACCGTTGTGGTTTGAGTGACCAAATGACTACTATTACTCTTCTTTTGAGGGGAATTACTAAATGTCATTTTATTTTGTAGGTTAATGCATTTAATCAAATGTTGAAACTAATGTCTCTCTCTCATTTCACTCCGATCTTGAACTGTATCTTGCTGTATTGCTACCCAGCTGAAATATTAACATAGGGACTGGAGCAGGATCATTATTTTTGACTGTGCACACTAGGATCAGTCAGAGGAAGGAACCACTTACTCCAGTCAAACCACGTCGAATCATCCGCTATGGAATGCAATACTATGTATAGATTTGTCTGGTTCCCCTTGGCAATCTTCCGCACCAATTTATTCCTCCCTCTCCTGAATGTTTGATTCCCCTAGTTTCCACAGACTCCAGAAACCCTCCAGAACAACATCCCAAGTGGCCATTTTGCACATGGGAGTGTCAGCAGTGAGTGTCCCTTGGCTGTCCTGATCCTATTCTCACCTGACATCCACAGAGGCCTGTCTAGCAGGAGCACATTGATATCACTCAGGAGTGAGGACCATGGTTGATTTCCTCTCTCCCTGATGCAGGAGGCTTGAAGCCACTTGTGGTACCCTGAGTCCTGCCCAGCAGAAACCACCTAACAGGGACTGAACCTGCTCCCTCATGTGGCTCAGGTACTGGACAAAACCATGGGGACATTGTATATCGATTCGTAGCTTGTTCTTTAGTTTGTACATCGCAGTTTCTGCCTATGAGTGGTATAATTTTGCAATACAAATTTCCATGTATACGGCTATATCGTTTATAGGATTGTTTTCCGGGGGGTAATAATCCCTTGTAAAAAAAAATGTGGTCACTCAACCCACGACTATTTGTGGGACTATTTGCTGTGCGTAATTGGCTGTCACGATTCGCCCATAAAACAAAATATACAGTCAATTTCACTTTTGCAGTATATTCTGTGAAGAGCATTGAGACGTCTCGAAGACGCGATGAGGTGCTGTATCAAATGCAGCAATTATTATTATACATATTATATATATATTTACACATTTACATTCTAGATACATTTTTTTTAAACCTTTACAGTCAAGGTTAAAGCTGGATGTCTTATCTGTTCATTGCAGTCGTGCGCCCTGGGCAGACATCTGTGCCCAGGGAATTTGACAACGCAGCCAGCCAGCACGCCAAGTCACTTGATAAAATACCACACCACCGAGTTCTCAGCAGGCCCTCAATTCTTTGGCCCTTTGGTTAAAATGCCTCAAGATTCTGGGCCAGTTTGGCATCATTCATTCTTTTAACAAATACTGCCAGCAAACTAGCACTCTGTGGGCTCTGATAAACAGGACATTCTGAAAAGCCCAAACCAAATAATATCATAATAAGAATAATACTTGCATTTGATATAGCGCCTTATCAAGTCGTTGAGACGTCTCAAAGCGCTTCACAGTACACCAGATAACACAAAGCTGAACCTGAGCCCCAAACCTGCTGGTTAGTCAAAGTCACAGGCAATCTGCATTGAGAGGATTCAGTCCGACACAATTGACATTTCTGTCTTAATAAAGGCCAACTTGAACTATGGCAGATTTAATTAATTTGATCCTAGCTCTTAACCCTGGTTTATGTGGGCGGCCACAAAGATTTTGGAAAATATTTATATTTTTTTAAAACTTGAATTGGCTGCTGCAGCCGTGTACCAAACAGTCATATATGTACATACTTAACTCAAGGTCAAAAGATAACTGAAAGATTGAAGAGGGCTTAGGAACACCTCGTAGACGAGAAATGGAAAAGGATTCAGAGACAGATCTTGACCATTACTCAAAAACTACAGAACAAATTAATTTTACTGATTTTTCAGAAAGAAAATAAGGTCCATCTAGTTCACCTTCCACCATCCTGGCAGTCGCACGTCATGTCCCAAACTATATACCGTATCCCGAGATATTATTTCCGAACAGAAATCTATCTAATTTGTTCTTGAATAGAATTGAAACTTTCTGCTTCTACCGTCTCCGTGGGGGAACCTGTTTCATATATTTACTACTCGCTCACTGAAGTAATGTTTCCGCAGATGTGTTCTGAATTTACCCCCCTCTTCACTCAATCGCGAGCCATGCCCCTCTGGGTCTACTATTCAGTACAAGACATTCATTTGATTTTTGTTCAAAAAAAGCCAGCGAGAATGAGACACTCACCACTTGTAGAAGGGCGAGATAGCCAGCCCCAACATTGTCAAAGTTGATCTTCACGTTTTTCCACCTGGCGGTTTCGTTGAATTCAATCATTTTTAAGCAGTCGGTTATGTTATTCACAATGTCAATAGCGATCATGCTTTCATCGGTGGTGTTGATGCAGTGGTAGTATTTCCCAGCAAAGAGGTTCACACCCATAATGCTGAAAATCAGCCAGAATATCAGGCAGACAAGCAGCACGTTCATGATGGAAGGGATCGCTCCAAGGAGAGCATTGACCACCACCTAACAGATTCGACGAAAACACAATTGAGAAAAAAAGTGTGAGATAAATAATTCATATTAATAATAATTGCATTTGATACAGCGTCTTATCACGTCTTCGAGACGTCTCAAAGCGCTTCCCTGAATATACCGTAAAGTGAATTGACTGTATATTTTGGGGGTGAAATGCGGCAGTCAATTGTGCACAGCAGCGTCCCACAAACAGTCATGGATTGAAGTGACAAAATTATTATTATTTTTTGAAGGGATTATTACCCCCGGAAAAGCGATCCGCCAATCAGCTAACAACTGGGTACCTACTTACTGATGGGTAAACAGAGGTGTGTGGAGCAAGGAAACTTGCCCAACGTTCTGCCCGGGAACCAAACCCAGGTCCTCTCGCTTGCGAGGCGAGTGCTCTAACCACTGAGCTACAGGACTACACTTGATATTAGATGAGGAACATACTTCGGTTACACAGACCAAATAATTTTTTGGTAACAATGCTTTATAAATTGTAGCTGACATGTAGCTAACACTACTACACTATCTTCTACAAAATATTAAGGCAAAACGATTAATGAAGTGTATCGCCAAACAAGAACAGCCGAGTAAAATGATTACGAGCGAGAGAAACAGAAACAATATACAAATGCAGTTATTTAAGAAAAGCAATTGACTAAACGATGTTGAAATGCTGATATTCAAAAAAATACAAAAATAAATCAAAAACCTTGTGGTGGACTGATGATGTCACAGAATTTGATTACTGCAAAGAAAACAAAATGTGTAAAATTGTAAATAAAATTCACAACATTTAAAGAATACTGACATTAGAGGAAGTATCAAAAGAAAAGTAAATGAATGCTGATTTGTGGGAAGCGACACTGAGAAGGATCGTTCAATGTGTTGTGGAATGACAAAGCTGCAGGAAGTCCAAATGAGCAGGAATATTTAATTATTGCTCTTCATAACTTTCATTTTTCTCAAAACTCCCTAAATAGAGACATAGAAATTAGAAACGTAGAAACAGGAGGAGGCTATTCAGCGCCTTGAGCCTGTTCTGTCATTCTATAAGATCATGGCTGATCTGTACCTCAATTCCAATTACCCTCCTGTGCCCCATATCCCTCGATACCCCGACCTAACAAACATCTATCCACCTCAGTCTTGAAATGTAACTAATAATTTGAGTTGTGTCCAATTTGCATGGAATATAAACACTTGAATGGGTCTTGGGCAGATAATCATAATAACAATAATAATCCTAGCATTTGATATAGCGCCTCATCATGTCTTCGAGACGTCTCAAAGCGCTATTTTTTTGTGGGTGAAACGCGGCAGCCAATTGCGCACAGCAGTGTCCCACAAACAGTCGTGGATTGAGTGACCAAATTATTATTTTTTTGAAAGAATTATTATATAAGACTGAGGCAATGATACGATTGATATAGATCAGACTGATGTGAGTTTTACTGGACATGTAGGAATAAGTTAAAATCTGTTTGTTCAGTCTTACCCTCATTCCTTCAAATCGTGACAAGGCCCTTAGAGGTCTCAGAGCTCTTAGTGTCCTAAGAGACTTAATGGCACCTAGTTCTGAGTAGCCCAAGGCATTAGCTGTAAAACTGACTAATGAGACCTAGAGAAAACAGAAAACACAGTGATTCTAAACAAATCATGTACGGCCAGGGATTGTAAAACATTACATTCCCACTTGCTACAGACACTCTCAAGGTGGACTTAAGGCTTTCAGTCTTCATCTCTTACACAATTAATTGCTGTTGTGAGCTTAAGCTAAAAGGCAATGTCACTGAGTAAAACATTATCTCAAGAAGCAAAAACCGTGAAGACAAAGTCTAGTTTCAGTGGATTATATATACTGTATCCTTTAGTGCAACAGATATAAAGATCCAAAAGGCAAAATGCTGGAAATCTGAAATAAAAACAGAAGTGGCTGGGAACACTCAGCAGGTCAGGCAGCATCTATGGAGAGAGGAAAGTGAGTCAACGTTTCAGGTCGATGACCTTTCGGCAGAACTAAGGAATGTTGGAAGGGAGCAGATTATAAGGACAAACAGAGAAAGGGGCAGGGAAAGGCAGGCAAAGGGAAAAATTAGGTGGAGGACAGGAGATAAAGATCCAGTGGGACAAAAAGAAAATCAAGTCACACAAATAAAACCTAGATTAATATACTATATGTGAATAAAAGTGTACACTTTGCAACAATAGATATTGACTCTTAGGTCTTTAAGTCTCGATCATCCCCAATGCTTTATAACTCCTTGGAGAATTGAGTGTAGCCAATTTATCGCTTCTTAGCGTGGATTCTGAACAGCGTTGTAAGCGAGCATTGAATTTTTAAGTCCACAGCTGTTGGACGCAATGCTACTTTACTGCCAGCAGCACAAACATCAGCACAATAAAGCACGTCTGTCCCTCGCCCCCTCCGCTCCACCATCGGTGGCCGCACCTTCAGCCACTATGCCCCGAAGCTCTGGAACTCTCTCCCTCAATCCCTCCGCCTCGCCCCCTCCCGCCCAATTTCAAAACCTGCCTAAGGACCTTCCTTTGTGATCGTGCTTACGGTCACCTTCCCCCACTCCCCCCTCCCTGCCCCCCCGGCTCGGGATCAGACTCCGCCACTGTCAAGCGCTCCGGGGACACTACCCCATGTGAAGCAGAGCTGTATAAGTGCTGCTATATAAGTTGCTGACGTGGAAAATCATAACATGATTGATAATTGACACTGTTAAGTGGATATGTCATCCCATTTCATATCGCGTGTATAGGGAGGCACTTTGCTTCTAGATCTCTGTCAATCATGTTCTGTTTGGAAGAATGGATTCTGAACCACAAGTAAGAAAGCACAGAATACATACATCAACAATGAGGAAGTCCAGCCAACACCATGCATTGGTGAAATACTTCACAAAACCATAGGCAACCCACTTCAGAAGCATCTCCAGAATGAAGATGTAAGTGAAGATTTTATCAGCGTATTCCAGGACTGACTTGATGGTTTTGTGCTTTTCAATGTAAATATCTTCAAAAGCCTAATGATGAAAGAAGAGCACAACATCACCATTTATTAAAAAAATGTTTTGTGGGCGAATGTGTAATTTATAATTGATAAACTCACATAAGTCGTATCAGTCGGGACCATAAGATTTAATACGACTCATGCAAAGTACGAGTCAAGCATTAAGTCGGATTTTATATAACTAACACCTAACAAATACAGATGTACAATGTACATGTGCAATGAACGGAGTTAGAATATGAAATGTTAAAGGAACTAACGTAATTAACACTTTAACTGAATTATTTCAAGTGCTGAAAGGCCTGCTTGATGATTCAAGGTTTTAACCAACAATTGTGGTAAGGGAGATTTTATTGACTTACAAAGAAAACCACAAGATGCTTGTTGCTAGTTTGCTTTGCTATGTGACTGACTAGAGATGAACACAGGCACAATAATATGCCCACAATATCTGGGTTAAACAAATGACAATCCCACCACTTACCAAGGCACCACTGCTGAGAAGAATCATGAAGATAATGAACGACTCAAACCAATTGTGTTCCACTATCCTAAAGCAGGTTTTTCTTAAGTTCCACCACATCTTGCCACGTTCCTCTTCTATGTTGACATAGCAGCATGGATATTTCCGTACACAGCCTGAAACGATGCACGTTTATAGCAGTGAACATTTAGAGTCTTTCTTTCAGCCAGATAAATTTGCTATTTTATACTATGATAGAAATAATGCGCAATTAGTTTTCAAATAGCCCCAAAACAGACTTTAACAAATAATAATTTGGCCACTCAATCTGCAACTGTTTATGGGACGCTGCTGTGCGCAATTGGCTGCTGCGTTTCGCCCACAAATACACAGTCAATTCACTTTACAGTATATTCTGTGAAGCGCTTTGAGACATCTCGAAGACGCGATAAGGCGCTATATCAAATGCAAGGATTATTATTAATTACATTTCAATCTTTCATCCAGGCTAATGTATTTTTTACGTTCCTGATTCTAAATTTCAAAAATAAATGTTTTCTTCAACCGTGTAAGTGATCAAATTAACCAGCGTTTGCATAATTATAACAATAAGCACACATCAGGAGATTTGGCTATAACCCAACAGGTTCCACTCTGGTTTTCACATTAATCGCACTTGTGTTCACTTGGCAATATTAAGTGCACATTTTACCCGAATTGCGCTAAAAGTCTCTCATTTGACAAACCTAAACCTTCAAATCTTTATCCTGGGTATTGAAAAAAAATTTGTGTGACATATCTGGTCACATTGGGTGTTTTGAGTTCACAGAATAGGCTAGTGATATTCCAGTGCAATGCTGGGAGAAAGCTGCAACGATTTGGATGTGACATGAAACTGAGATCCCACCAAATTCCACACCAATAAGTTTCTCCCTGTCCTACAGATACATAGTCATTCACTACATAGCTCTTTGTGGGGACTTGCTATCGACTTAAAAATTGGTGTCAAACCCTTTTAACATTATAGGCATTATATCAAAAGCAAAAGTTTTGTTATCAATATCTAGTACCAAACTCATTTATTATGAACATAAAAGAACAGAAGAAAGGTACATTGCCTCATTAGCTTGTTATTGTCCACAGACTTTGCATGTCCTACTTTATTATCAACTAAACTCAAACATTTTATCTCCAAATGCAAAATTTTGTATTGATTCTCCCCGATCCCCAAAGATAACACTTTTTGTGGTGAAACTGTTGAGAAAATTGCAGTGATTCACTGTGAAAATTCACACAGTAAACACAGCATGATTTCCAGTCAAGCGCTCTCGAAATTGATGCAAACTCAAATTGGATTAGCTTTGCTAACAAGAACTTCACATTGACTCGCATTCATTCAGTCTGGTCTTTGACATGCTCAGCTTCACTCTCTCAACTACCTCCCACTCCTCACTATTTGTTTATCGTGGCTTTTTAAAATATTTCATATTTTGGCATTCAGGTTAGCTTGGATCTCCCTAACATTGTCAATCAATGTAAAGCTTCTCTCTATCTGTCAGAAAAGCCGGTCGATGGATCACGGGAGTGTTTTGTGCGTGTGATGAGAGCACAGAAGCTTTCTGTTGTCTTACTGCTGTCTCTCTCTCTCTCTCTCTCTCTGCAATGGCCTTGTCCAGCTTGGGTAGGTGCTAATTCACTGTAGCTACAGGGCGAAACACACTGCCTCATTCTGCAGCTTACAATGGTGTCATCTCCCTAATCTTCCAGTTTTCCCAGTTATTCAGCTGAACCAAATTGCTGCAAAACCCTTGAGGCAAAAGGACAGAGAAAATGGCTCCCTGAGCAGGGATTCTCTCTCAATGGCTGACTCGTTTTCTTAAACGAAATGAAACCAGTCAGACAAACAAACACGCGCAATTATAAAACTCACCCACTTGAAACCCCAGAGGACAAGGATTGCTTAATATATCTATAAATCATCTTGTTTGTCTTAAAGGTAAATCTATCAGCCGATGTCTGCTCGACTAATTATTCTGAGAGCAGTTTCTTTACCGTATTAATCAATATTTCCCTGCATTTATATCGAGCATATAATTACGTTAAATTTTAAGATCAGTGTTGTTGTTCAGCTCACAGTTGTTCCTAGAAACTACAAATAATGACAAATAATTCTGTATTTGCCGGTGAAACTAGGTCAACTGAAAGATACAAACTATGACAGTAACATGCACAGCGACTGAGCTGGGAGGAACACTGATAGCCAGCAATATTATCTTCTTATTCTGCCGCACACTATAGAATCTTTACAGTTTATATCTTGCTAACGTCATCAATAGGGATACATAATGAAACACTTCAAATTGTTGTTGTTAACATAAAGTAAGTGAAATGAATGAATGTACAATGAAACAGCGCTGCACCACGAAACAAAGCATTTGCTGAAGCAGAATAGACAGCAATAATAACTGACACCGCGATAGGCAAAATCCTGCACAGATAGAAACTTAAAGCTGCACTGATTGTTAAAATACGAAACAATGTCAGAATTACTAAACGATTTTTAACACTCGTCATTTTTAAACTCTTTCTTCCCTAGGAAGAGGGGGTGAAATACTCCGACTCAAAATTTGTCACTGGCACATTAAAATTCCTTTTTATTTTATAAATGGCGAGTTATCACTTTGAAGTGTCTCAAAGTGCTTCAGAAGTAATTCCTGCCAAATGTGCTAACTATGTTTTGGAAGATAAATGTGACAGTGATTTTGCACCAGCAAAGTCCCACAAGCAGTTATAAGGTCAGTGATGGATTTACCTGGAGGATTGTAATAATAATAATAATCCTTGTATTTGATACAGCGCCTTATCATGTCATTGCGACGTAGCAAAGCACTTCATACGATACTGTAAATTGGATTGACTGTATATTTACTGGCCAATTTACCTGGCCTGCTCTTTGCAAATAGTCTAATTTGCAGCATTTCTTAATGGGAATCCGAAGAGAAATGAATCCAATTTGCACACACGTCTCATGATAACCAGTTGTACATCACACTGGGCCATGGGATCTCCACTCCACTGTAAGCTATTTCACAGTGGACTTCCCACAGGTTAAGGGAAACAAATACCGTATTAAACATGATGTCCAAGTATAGGGACTGAAAATAGATCCAAACAGTTATCATGATAATAATAATCCTTGCATTTGATATAGATAGAGCCTTATCACGTTGTTGAAACGTCTCAATACGCTTCACAGGAAATATGTAAAGTGAATTAACTGTATATTTTGAGGGCAAAATATGCGCCCAATCAACTAACAATCGGGTTCCTACTTACTGCCAGGTAAACAGAGGCGTGTGTGTGGAGTAAGGAAACTTGCTTAGGTTTTGCCCTGCCCGGGAATCGAACCCGGGTCCTCTCGCTTGCAAGGCGAGTGCTCTCACCACTACACTAAAGGACTCCGAACATTTTAACATTTTAGGAACATTTCATGTGTTGTGAACTGTGAATAACTACAGTGTTGGTGGGCAACAGAAAACAGGTTTGACAATTCACCATTACTAGATATAATTGGGCCAGGGATTTTATACTATTACCATGAGCAGATACTGTATGAGAACGGAAACTGTCAACCCTGCTGTTCAGGATATAACTGGGTTGGCTATTTGGGTTACAGAGATGATGTCAAGCATGAAATAATGCTCCCAGACACCGGATATTGGGCACTTTAACATATTCTCATTCACTCGCTGCATGTGTAAGCTTCCAAGCAAACAATCCTTCACATCTGAAGTGAACGCATCATGTATCAGCTTATGACAAACCAAACAACAAATTGTGAACCTAAATGAAATGAACAACAGATGATTAATGTTGATAAAGAAGGGTTGAGAAAATGACCATGGTCAGATGAACTAGATAAATACCTTCAAGGGAATCAACCTCAGGGGAATGGAGAAAAGGGGAGGTAAATGGGATTGAAAGGATTGCTCTTAACGCAGCTGGCATAGACAATACCAGGCAGAATGGCCTTCCCCTGTGTCATAAATGTGTACGGCTCTACGTGCCTTCAGCCACTACGCCTCAAAACTCTGGAAATCTCTCCCTCAATCCTTCTGCCTCGCCCCCTCCCTTCTCACTATCAAATCCCGCCTAAAGACCTTCCTTCTTGATCGTGGCTAAGGTCACCTCCCCCTCCCCCCCCCCAGCTCAGAGTCAGATTCCAGGACACTACCCCATGTGAAGGGTGCTATATAAAGGCAAGTTGTTGTTGTTCTAACTGGTTAGGTGACAATAATAAAAAAGAGAATGAGCATAAAGTGTGGAAAGTTTTAAATCAGAAACCTAGGGTCACATTTGCATCAGAAAAATTGGTCTCCAACTAATTTTCGTAGATTACTGAAGTTGTGTGGCTGATTGCCAGTGAGACACAGACTAACCATCAGTGAAACAGGCTTCGGGCTCCATGGATTCCTCTGGGATTTCCTCCTGTTTCTCACCCTCGCCAGGTGGACTGATGTCAACTGTGCTTCCCTCTGAAGAGCTGGTTTCAGCTGTTTGCTGTAAGAGGAAATCCAGAAACATGCTGGTTACCAGTGACATGGTCACTCCAACAACCCAACAGTTCAGTAGTTATTAGCCTCGGAGCGATCGGTGCATTAGATAGATGTCGTCACAATTTGATTTTAAAATTATATTGAATAAGCTGAAATGACCACTGCAATAAAGCTGGCATTATCGTGAAATTGCGTGTGAATAAATGCATCAAGTAAAACCTGTACGGTTATCCCTTACGGTCAAAAGAATTGTTATGCCGTTTCTAAAGAAGGCAACGAATAGCAAAAAAATATACATTTACTCCATCCCTCCAAGTGTAATCTTCATGGACATGACAATACACATTACCATTCAGTGTGTGAGGGGTTCCAAAGCCTCTGTATGTCATTTCTGAGCATCAGAAAGGAAGATCAGTACATTAGCTTTAAAACAATTCTTACACATTTTTAAAAAAAAATAAGAAATCCTGCTTGCGCTACTTAATGGATGAACTAAGGCAGCGCTCATAAATCAAAATGGTGCATGTACTTACTGTGGCGTCTGCTTGAAAAAAAACATGTAGACAGTCCCGGCATCGATTCTGTTTTGCAGAGTTTTATATTTTCCAATTGTAAGGTCGAAATCACGTGCCAATTGCGAGTACTTTACAGTCTTTGCAACGTACAAATATAATAATGTAAGTTTGAAAACTGAATAAGCATGTGCACCGCTCTGATATAGGAGAATTGATACCCGGGCATTCCATTTGTGTACCATGGATTAAGAGATATTTTGCACAAATTCATCTAATACTGCATTCAAGGCTGCCTGACAAATCAACTGAAACAAGAAAGGGATGATGTAAGCAGGCAAAGAACATAGAAGAACCTCATTGAAATAGACTGAAGGCCATAATGTTGCCATGAACATGTATTCCTGGTTTCCAATTTAAAATTAAGTAAGAAAGAGGACTCCTGTTTTGCTAGTTAAGGTGTTTTACAAACATCACATCAGTGTTTGCAGTCAGGGCAGTGCCACTATTTTTAGTTTTGATTCAAGATGGAAAAGGAGTTTTTTTGTTTTGAAGTTTGGCTGTAGAAACTAAAAATCAATTCACTTAAGAGCAAATCAAACAAGGCAAATTGGAGGTTTATACCATTTATTTCTGGGGCAATATATTTCAGTCTGTGAATGTGCATTTCGATGTAAACGTGTACTTTTTCCAGTGAAGTATGTAACCTCGTGTCCTCTGCATTATGAGTCACTCATTAATGTTTCAGAGTCTCACAACCAAAGCCTCGCAAAGGTTAGCACTGCAATGTCTCACAGTACTTACAGGAGAAAGCAATCTGAATGTACTCAGGCAGATATTCCAATATATTAAAAAAATCACTACTGGGAGATTGAATAACGATTTTTTTTGAAAAAACACAATTTTCACCCTAATTTAAAGTTTACTTTGTTAAATATATATATTTGATGCAGGTTTGTACTTTGCCCTCACACATTATAAAGACGCTTCTGTTAAAGTGAATTGGATTTTAGAAATATCCCTTTAACTATTTAGGAAATTTTTTTGGTCAGCCGGGTGTCTGACACGTGCGGATACCCATCACCGTTGTTTAAGACTCTCCAAACCAAACTGAGAATTCCAGGTCTCCCACCTACACATGGAAATCCCAGTGAGAGATTGTTGGAATGCGCTCTCTCTCTCTGTCTCCCTGGAGAGATGCATCCTGCTTACCGAATTCCGGAGAATATTAGGCGCAGGTTGGCAAGAGCCAAGGCTTGGGGTGGTGGGGGGGAGCCCAGAGTGTGCGTTGGGGTAACTGCTGGAGTCTAACCAGTTAAAACCGCGTAGCTTCCCCATTGATATTGCTGTCTGGCTAGCTTTCCCGCTGCTTGTCCAGCTAGGATCACCCTATCCATTAGAGCTTAGGCTTGCAGGGTTAACAGGAGCTGAGTGGGATGACTCCTTGCCCCCTACGTACACACAACAAATGTTTAAATGTAATTCTGACTGAATAAATGTATTTCATGATTAAACTCTTCCTTATTGTGATGGGTGAAGTCAGCGATTCTTAAACGGGAGAATAAGTTATTTTGTCAATTTATGAAGATTTTTATAGACTACTGCTAATTTATCTCAGTTCGATTTTTGAAATGTCAATGGTTGAATGCAGTGCAATATTTCGCATTGTGTCTTATAGTTAATTTAACTCTGAACCAAGTTGTTTACCTATTTGTTCTAAATTTGAGTTCAGAGAGTAAAATAGTACAGTAACAACTCAAATGCAAAATTCTCTATCAAAGCAATTTCAGTTAAGAGCAAGATTCTGTTGCAAAGCTGCACTTACTCTTAAGAGCAATTGACAATAGACTTTTTATGAGATACACTATTGAGAGTCGATCAGAAATTACTTTGACTGGTTAAGTGACACTGAACCCTGTATGACAGTTCTATTGATTAATTTCCAAAGCCAGGATTGTTAAGCGCCTTGGGACATCCTCCCGACGTGAAAGGCGCTATGTAAATACAAATTGATCTTGTATTGTATTTAGAAACGCAGACTTTCCCTGACTAAATTCATTGCCTGTTGGGTGCATATCTTAACATGCTCCGACCCATGACACCGTAGGGACAGACCACAGAAACTTCTAGAACCACAATGTCTTTAGATTACCAGCCGTGTGCATGCATCATTCCACCAAGTCCTACCAAGTATCGGTAATCTGAAGCTCTAGATCCCAAAACATTGTAGTTTTGTTTTTTCCTTCTGTCCCATCAAATCTGACGTTTTATGAACATTGTATTGGCTTGTTATGCTGCCTGGGCCAACAGTGCAAAGTATGCAGAGTTTAAGTTGGCATGAGCCAAATAGCAAATCGATTAAGATATCCTTCTGAAGAATTTCAGCTTTGTTTTGGTTTTTAGCAAACGTACCAAATTGATTGAGTAAGAAACCCATATGGAAGTGGTTTGGCTCAAATAGCCATTCTTTGCTATGTAGAATGGCTACAATTATCTCTCGCACAGCTTAAACCTTGCATATATATTATACACTATTTTTATTTATAATTATGTATTGCTTATATTTATAAATAAAAGTAGGGAAGCATCAGTATGCTATGAGTCATGTCTTGCCAGTGAATTAGTATTTCAGCTAAAATAATAGAACATATACTCATTATGTCGCCAGGTTTTTGAAAATGCCAACTCAAAGTCTCATCTGATGTGTCTCGCACAGATACCATCAGAGGAGAAAAGAGAAAAAGAAATATAAGATGTTATTTAGTGGGATAAAGAGAATTAATCATTTTTAACAATCGTTTAATAAGTGCTAAGTCAGCAGGAATGACTTTTCAGGTAAGTTAGCAAATTTGTCTTACAAGTGTTCTTGTCACTGAGAACTGGTCTGCTTCTTGAATAGAGCTGTAATAACAACCAGATAAGTTAGGCTAGGCTGCAAAAGGTGATAAGCCTTAGATATATAATATCTATCTATATATATATATACACAAACCTTATTGTCACTTATTAACAAAGAAAATGAAGAACAGAAAAGCTAGAGCTAGACCTGCACAGCTATAATGGACTCTTAAAGCTGCAACATTCTTAATGTGCTCAGATGGATCCATCAAACTGAATCTCTAAGCTTGTCAGAGAGAGAGAGAGAGGATGAACTCAGTGCACTTGAAGTCCACAGAGACTTTAAAATGCTCCACATCTCTGTTTCTTTTACATTATTCAAGCGGATTTTATTTTCCAATGGGGATGGAAGCTCTCTTTTTACAAGACAATACCACCGCCACTAAAACCCTTAAAAGACTGCAGAATATTCAGTGAAATACATTTCAGTTCCTTGATAAATGCAAACAAAATTCCTGAGAAATACTTGTACATTTGTTAGAGCAAGATATATTGTGCTATTATTTACAGTGCCACTTTGACCAGGATAAAGTGGGATAGGTATTTTTCGACATGCTCCTAAATGTTCATTTTACCATTCAATTCTATTGACCATGCATTGGTTTGAAGGAAATATTTCATTTTATACATTAAATACATAAATGCTTCACTGCGACACAAAAATAATTTATTTTAAATACAGTAATCTCTATTCTTCTTACAACACAGACTATACGAGCTGACACTTGTACATATAATAATATTATTATTACATATTATACACTTGAAAAGGAAACATGTGCAGGGCTATGGGGTAAGAGCGGGGAAGTGGGACGAGTTGATAACTCTTTTAAAGAGCCAGCACAGGCACGATGGGTCAAATGGCCTCCTTCTATTCTGTAAGATTCTTTGAATGACTGACTACAGTAGCTACACAGCCATTGAACTGAGATGTACATTGTTTAAAGAGGAGAGACATTGCATTCAACTGAAGTGCCAGATTATCTGAGATGATTAAAGACTGATTGCTGGAGCCTTCCTCCCCAGCATAGACACTCATGATTCGAATCTTAATTCCTTTTCCTATTCGTCACGTCCAAAATAGTCAGTTTAGCATATTGGTGTACAGGAGCTGAGAGTCAGGCAGGAAATACCCAAACTGTACTTCACTAGATGTGCAGGAATTGTCACTGTTACCCGTTAGATACCACATGAGTATGTGTGAAAACTGTGTAAGTATTTATAAAGGAAAAAAAGCGCATATCACCAACTCATTAGAAATAATATTCACCAGATAACAATGACCCTAAAGGATGACAACTAAGATAGATCTACAGATTATTTTGAACCATCTGACTGACTGAACAGTTGTTGCATTTCCAACTATCATATCCAAAATGTTGTCAATGTCTCACTCTTCCCCCATTCGACACGACCAGGATATGTCATGCTCCTCAGGCACCAATGTCTCCCTGACACCTCATTTAATTGGCCATTCTTGGTGTGCGAGGCCAGACAGGGAGCATCAGCAGCTATCCTCACTCAACATTCACACACACACCACACACCGGCAATTAAACCTCAAACCTCACTGATCTGTACCGTGCAGCTTTACACTAGGCTTGACTCCAGGGAATTGCAAAATCTGCTTTAATATCTCGAACCGCAAGTTGTACTAGCTATTACAGAAGTAAATCAAAACATACTGTACCAACCACTATTTTATTACTAAGACAAACAACTTTACCCAAGCAATATAATCCTTTCAAATAGCTGTGGATCTCACACATATTTGTATTTATGGCTGATTATATAGAATCTAGATCATATAGAAGGAGAATCAGATAGCGGTTCAACATTTTCTTATGAAACGCATGTGATCATTATGAGGAACAGAGAATAATAATAATCCTTGCATTTGATACAGCACCTTATCACGTCTTCGAGACGTCTCAAAGCGCTTCACAGAATATACTGTAAAGTGAATTGACTGTACATGTTGTGGGCCAAATGTGGCAGCCAATTGCGCACAGCAGTGTATATTCTATGAAGTGCTTTGAGACATCTCGTACAACAACAACAACAAAATTGACATGTATAGAACACCTTTCACGTCGGGAGGACGTCCCAAAGCGCTGAACAGTCAGTTGTCAGGGCCCGAGCACGGGGGGAAGGGTGGTGTAAGGGTGAGGGAAGGCAGAGAGGTGGGAGGGAGACCAAAGGCAGGGTCGAAGAGAAAGGTCTTGAGACCAGCCTTGAAGGAGGCAAGGGAGGATGGAGTTCCAGAGTGTGGGGGAAGAGAGGCTGAAAGCCCGACCACCGATGGCAGGTGACGGGTCGAGCGGGAGACATGGAGCAGGCTGGAGCCCATAGGTGCTATATATCAAATGCAAGGATTATTATTCCTTAGTAAGAAAAACAAGTGTCACAAATGGGGAACCCTGACCGGGAACAAAAGTACATGTTTGTCAACTCAACCTGTGGGAACTACACTCTGGTGGTGATCAACTCCAAGACTGACGTTCCTGTGGGTCAATCGGAATTGTAACGGGATTCATCATCAAGTAATTCTATTAAGAACACCACACATGATTTCCCATACTGAGATAAATACTTAGTTCATATAGAGAGATATTGACTGGTTGACGATGACATTGTTGTCAATCATTTAAAAAAAATCTTAACTGTATAAATTTGAAAAAAATGGCATTTATAACTCCAACTCACTTCATTTATATCAATATGAATCGGAAATAAAAAAAACCAATATTTTCTTACCTCTTTGCTTTCCTCCAGATCGGATTCACTGGTGAAATCTTCCGTGTTTAGATTCTCAAAGTCCGACTCCCTATTGCTATCGGCACTGTTACAGTGAGACTTGGGTTGTGAATAAAGGACATGTAGTCACTTACATCGTATTTATCTGCTGTTACACTGCTGCCTATCCCACTGGTGGTTCCATTGCCATCTTTATGATAGTTACCCTCTTTACTAATCTCAACTGTTGTGTGATTGGAGACATTACTGCCTTTCTTGCTCTGTAGGTCATCGAGTGGTTTGACATCTTCGGTGACTTTCCTCCTGACGCAGGGTTTCTGAAACAGTTCTCTTACATTTCTCTTGATGCAATCGATGCCTTTCTGTATCCTCCCCACCGCAATCTGTAAATTGTTCATCTCACTGTCATCATCGCTGGCAGCGAGATTATCGGCACTGAACGAGCTCAGTAACAGGGCCAGAAACAGGTTCAGGACCTGGAAACCAAACACACACACAAAGAGAAGGCAAAAAATCCATTAATCATTCATTCCTTTTCTATACAGTCACACATTATAAAAGGCAACGGACAGTTTTCGTTCCTTTTGAACTGGTTGGTCCAACTGGTGGCCCACAGGCCCCACCTGCCCCCCTCCCCCACTCCCTCCATTTCATCCCAACCACTCCCTCCATAACCTGCAAATGTTATGTTACTCTGGAAAGGGAAACACAAAAATATTGCTTATGCAGCCTGTGGATGTTTCTCAAACAGGGCATCAGGTCCTCAGCAGCCAACAGGTTGGAACCCCCTTCCCCCTGCACCACTTGCTTTGGAAAATATCGCTGTAATAATGAACAATGTTTCTCAGAACTTCTGTCAATCCCGTGATTTGCTCACAAAGTGGAAGCTGGGATAACATGCGTGTGTAATCTGACTGAACGTGGCTTCTGCAGCACCTGAGTCCATGTCTGGTGGTGACTAACATTTCAATGATAAGATATTTTGCATTGAGTTATCACAACCAACAAACAGGCACATTACAACAACCATTTATATAGTGCCCGTCATGCGGGGTAGTGTATCGGAGTGCTTGACAGTGGCGGAGTCTGACTGTGCCCTGTAATGTCCTCCCTTAGACATAACATGGACACACGGCTTGAAGCAACTTCAACCAAAACATTATCCTTCAGTCAACACTCAATGATTACAATGAAGGTTTTAAATAATTCTCAAGAGATGTTCTAAAGGCTGTTACCGTATGTTTGAGAAAATCCGTAACGGATCAAGTATATTTAAGTCAACTTATTATGTAAATAAACAATAAGTATCTTTCAAGCGTTTGAGAGGATTGATTAGGTACGTACCACAAGATTGCCGATTACCATGACCATCATGAAGACAGTGAGGCACATGGTCTGATCAGCGACCTCCATGCAGTCCCACATTGTCTCAATCCACTCTCCACACAGCACACGGAACACGATCAGGAAGGAGTGAAAGAAATCGTGCATGTGCCAGCGAGGTAGCTTACAATCGTCTGTAATTTTGCAGACACACTCCTTGTAGTTTTTGCCAAATAGCTGCATGCCCACTACAGCAAAGATGAAGACAATGATGGCTAACACCAAAGTCAAGTTACCCAAAGCGCCCACTGAGTTACCGATGATCTTGATCAGCATGTTTAGTGTGGGCCACGACTTTGCCAATTTAAACACTCGCAGCTGCAAAACAATGGGTCATGTTAGTTATCCATCAGAACAATTCCATTTTGCTCCATTGTTTTTTTTTAAAACATTTTACTTCCTCACGCTCCGAGATGATTTAAACTTGAGAGAAAGAATATCAAGTACGATACATTACAAATTAGCAAAGCCCTGATTTTTGACTGATTTATAATAATAATCATCATCCTTGCATTTGATACGGCGTCTTATCATGTCTTCGAGACGCCTCAAAGAGTTTCACAGGATATACCGTCAAGTGAGTTGCTTGTAGACTTTGTGGGCTTTGTGATATAACATGCTTTATGTGTTGATAGTATAAAACAGACAGATGTTTAAAAATATTTGTAATTACCAATCGAAAAGACCTCAATACTGACAATCCCTCCACGTCAGCGAGACCGAGCTCCATTAAGCTGAGACTCACTATAATGCTGTCAAATATGTTCCACCCTTCTTGGAAGTAATAATAAGGCTGCAAGGCTATGATTTTGAAAATCATTTCAGCAGTAAAGATTCCAGTAAAGACCTGAAGGAAGACAATAGGATTATTTTTTTCCCCCATTAAACTGGAAATTATAGTGAAATTTCAGCCTTATTTACATTACCTCAATGGATAAGCTTAATTATTAAATGATTTGAAGCACTGATGCCTCCTTTTTGCATCATGCATTTTACATATTTTCTGACATGTATTATTATATTTGATTTTCAAAAAAAAGCAACGATGCTTAACACTCTGTAATATGGTATTAGGGAAATAAATGGAAATGCTGTTCTGCCTGAATTATTCACTACAAATTGAAAATGATAAGTTGTTCACATTTTACATTTGCTGTGAAAGGTCTTAGGAGGAGTGACAATCCAAATTCTACATCGTTTCCTTTCCAGTTACATCTGCTATGAGGAATAGCTTGTTCTTTCACAATTAAGCAAATTACTTTTGTCACTTTCCAAATTCGATTATATTTCAATGAATATTAAATAATATGTAACGGCCTTTTTTTAAAAAAAAACACTAAATTTATAGCATAAAGTGATCCCATGTTTCCTGGATAAAATAGGAAAGACTTCAGGGAGAAGATATATTTTTTGTATGTAATAAATGGGTGCAACATGTATATCTATTCAGATAAATATGTACTTCATTTATCAATGAACTATTTCACCCAGATAAAGATGACTGCAATATACAGGGTCATGTTCAATGAAATTGAACAGGATGACCTTACAGGTTAAACAGATAGATTTGGAGGAACACATACCAAGTTTCCATACGAAAGCACATTTTGAAAGTTTTCCGTCATCGGGTAATGCTCCATGGCCATGAAGAGGGTGTTCAGCACAATGCAGATAGTAATAGCAAGGTCCACCAATGGATCCATCACAACCAAGTGTACAACTTCCTTCAGTTTCAACCACCGCGGATGGCAGTCCCAGATCAAGTACGTGTTGGCGAATTTATACCAGCAAGGGGGGCATTTCTGTCGAGATTCTTCAAGTTCTACATAAGGCAACCGAAACCCTGGTTATCAAACTGTAACTGAAGTCAACCAATACTATGATCTCATACAGTGATGGCCACACCAACTTTATACAGGACAGGAACCAAGTGTGTTACATGGTATAATTGGAGAAATCGAAAGCACTTCATACAGGTATCATCATCAATTTATGCCAATTAATCTCAAATATCCTTGGCCTCTTTGATGTTATTGTGTTGTTGTTATTTGGATTTTATGGGTGAGTGGACTTAAACTTGCTGATAATAATAATCCTTGCATTTGATATAACGCTTTATCACGTCAAAAAAATGATATTCTCCCCTTCTTCATCCTCTGAAAGGGAAACTCACCCTGACTTTGGTTTGCGAAATGATGAAAGGCAACAACATCAAATGTTATTCACATGTGACAAGAGTATAGTGAGTGACCCCAGCCAATCCTAATAATACTGTCCCCACTCACCAAGCACATAAAAAGCCATCGTCATTTCAACTGTGAACAGACATATCCTCACCTTCCAACAATTATTTTTATACAGAGTCAGTCAGATACATCAACCCAATAGGTCAAAAAAACATAATAATCTTAAACTTTCCCCATGAGCAACACATATCCTTTGGGCTTCCCAATGAACATTTTTTGTTTCTGCTTTGTGAGAGTCAGCGCGTAAGACACAAACATTAGGATCAGTACATGTCACATATGTGAACGTACAGGTCATAGAATTTGAGTGTCGAGTCTGTGCCTACTCATGTCATGGTTCTCCGAGGAAGGAGATAACAAGAAGCTTAATAGACATTCCATCATTGCGGTTTCATCTAATTATGCCGGCAATAATATTCAAAAATTCTATTGAAGTGGTGTTTCAAAGTGTTTGTTCGAAGCCTTCAGGAACAGTTGACAAGTTATTTGTGCTTTAAAACAAGTGTTGACCTGGTGTCTGTGGCCAGGTTTGCTCCTCAAGGAATTCTACATAGTTAACAGTAAAGGCAATCTCTCTCCTCACTATATGTCAAGCATGTGCCTGGGGGAAATTGCTTAAAATACCATATTGGAACTGGCAGCCCCCTTTATTTTCTTCTCTTGCCCAACTCACTCCCTTTAGTCATTCATTCAAAGGTCATTCCAGTTTCTTTAGGCCAAGGAGATTTAAAGAAAAAAAAGAAAAGAAATAAATAACAGGACCGTTAAGAAAAAAAATCTGTTAATTTGGGTTTTGTTCTTGTGGCCCCAACATTCTCTACGCTGCTTGCTTCATTTTTGCACTGCAGTCACCCTCCCCGCAGGCAGCTATTTGGAGTTGTTTGATGGTAATCGAGCAAGATCCATGGCCTAATTAACATCAGTGTAATCCCTCGGGCTCCTTGCTGCTCCACTCATGGTTCAGCGGAAGTGGGATCTGAGACACAGAAACAAGGAAGTTCTTAAGTCACATTGGCGTTCTCTCCTGAGCCAGTTGTTGATAGGAGAGACACCGCAGTTGGCCCTGGTTTCCCCCACGGTCTGTAGAGAAGAAACATCCGGTAGGATTCCCTCTCCTGGTCATGTTTGAGTGAGTGACCTCTAATGGAGTCTATATGATTGGGGCATGAGGTAAGGAGAGCGTTGGGCACAGCTGTGATGCATCTCTCGGTTGGATGCTCTGTTGACATTTATGCAGGATGAATGAATGGCCACTTGGGCTGAGGACCAGAAGGTTGCTGGTGTCACTGGAAACACCTCAGTGTTAGTCACTCAATGGCTTCAAAAGAATATTCGATCAAAGGAAAGGCATCATCACTTAGATGTATCTCATTTTCCTCAAGTGAAAATTCACTGAACGGGTCACAATATATATATAAAAACCTGCTCTCCATTTCCAGCCTTGAAAGCCATTGAATCCTGAAACAATGTATAAAACAAGGTATTTTTGCGATGATTTAATGTTTAAGGTCATGGTTGAATTAATATGTGATGGTAAGCGTTGCTCATTTTGTACTGAAAACCGGAAAGTGACGGAAAATTAAAATACATTCCACAATTACAGTCGTTCAACAGCTGTTATATACACATGGCTTTAACTCAAAGCAGAGCACACCAACTCAAAGCCAGACTGTTAGCAAATTTGACAGAATCACAATGTGGGGAAAAGGTTGTTCAATGTGAACTGACATGTCTATCAAAAGCAAACACCGATTGAGAGATTTATTGCCAATTAAATTTAGTGGCATTTATGGACATTTGTGGCTGAGTATTTTGTAAATTAGTAATGTGCACTTCAATGTGAATGGCGTAATTTTGCTCTACGTTAACACGCATGAATGGTCACCTAACTGTCATGTCCCGAACTATGCACTGTATCCCGAGATATTGTTTTCTACAAGAACATAAGAATGGGGAAAGAAGTCAAAGGTCCAGGCTGGGATCTAACACTAAAATGTAATGCAAGGAATGAAGGTACCTTCCATTGTGTTTGTCAGAACACTTGCTACACTTAGCGCTCTCTGCTTTAGCACTGGATCTTCAAGCAAATCAGTGGCTATTAGATGAGACCCAGTCCTTCTCTTCTTAAGCTCCATTTCCATGTTGGCGGCCTGCAATTCAAATAGGTCCCAATCATTCAGAGGCATTTCACGAAATATAAAGTGTAGTGACTGTATATTTTGTGGGCGAAACGCGGCAGCCAAATGCGCTCAGCAATGTCCCACATACACTCGTGGATCGAGTGACCAAATTATTATAATATTGTATGGCTGCAGGTCAGGGCCAGGTCAACCACAGAGACCCCACTTGTCTTTCCAGCAAGGAATGTAGTGTTTAGTTTACATATGGATCACATCTCATCAAATCAACATCAAAAGAGTGGCCACTGAGTGGACTCAACAGGATTTGAACCCAGAGCCTCTCATCATAAATCCAATCCCACTACCACCAATTAACCCATGGTGATTATCAGTGAATAAATATCTTGAATGTTATTCCACTTACATTGTGTGAGAGAGGAAGATAACTCAAGTGTAGAAACATAATACAGCATAAAAAATATTTCTATTGATAAATTAAATCCTAATTCTGTGAGAGAGGAAGAATAATTCTGTTTTACTACCTGTTTTAAAAGGACAATTTTGACTATTCACCATATTTAAGTATAATGTACTAAGTAAATTTGTCTCAAAAACACTAAAAAGAAACTAATTTCTGCTTCTTTTTAATCACCATTTTTCACTGAAATATTTTTAGAAAACTCTAAGTTGTTTAAACAATCCAGATGCAACAATAATAGTAATATTTAACGTTAAAATATGTTCGCAAAATGCAAAGTGTCTGCCCTTGGGCTTACAGGGTGACCAAAACATCATGATAACTACCCTATTAACTAAAAAATAACCAAAAAAAACATTACTTCGTTATTAGAGATATTAGACATCGTAATGGTATCACGACTTTTTGGTCACTCTGTAAATCCTGCGAAGGGCTTCAGAGACATCCTCCCAACGTGTTGCATATACTGCGGTGACTGTGCGTTGTGTAGACAAACTGATATCAATGTTTCAACTGAAAATTGTTTCCTTTAGTGCTTTAAGAAAAATTATGTTCTTTAAAGCCTTAGTACATCATTTTCTGGACCAACCACATACGTTGCCCATGAGTGACATCCAAACACTGTAAATACACCAACCGATGGCCACCAAGCCTAGACTGTTTAAAACGTTCTTACATTATCATCAGTAGCTGGCTTATCTATTATCACCTCGGGCAGAAGGAGTACTGTGGGTAAGATTGGAGCGGAAGGTCCTCCAAGCAGCGAGACCACCCCATTGCAGTCCACTGTGCTGTGCATCTTTCCGTTGGCTGACACCATGGGCAGGTTCCTGGGAGATGGACTGGCCTGACTAATGTTGCTACCTCTCCTCTCGCCCTGCCTGTAAGGGTTAAAGAACGAGCTTCTCCTGCTCTCATTGTCTTCGAAGGTGCTGTGCTCATCATCGGCAAAGTCGGTTTCCGAGCCCACATCCTTCATCCGGCCTTTGAAACTGAAGATGCTGCTTCTGCTGTTGCGTCGGGGGGAAAAGAGAGAACCTCGGAAGCTTAGCAGCGACTGGAAGAAGAGTGGAACGAAAAAAAACATTACCCTAAACTCTGAATTGCAATGTATCAGTCATTTTTCTGTGCGTTCGTATTGCACTCTGGCAATGCATTGCTCCCTACAATGTAGATTCACTGCCCATTTCATTTTAAACTAAGTGAACGCTATACATTTTGTGGGACACTGCTGTTGGGCAGTTTTGCCCACAAAATGGACAGTCAATCCACTTTACGCTATATTCTGTGAAGCGCTTTGAGACGTCTCAACGACGTAATAAGGCGCTGTATCAAATGCAAGGATTATTATTATTATTATCGTTAAACCTCTCTCGACATTTCCTGTCCGAGACCTTTCAGTCTGGCTTACAACCTGCCCGCAGCATTGAAGTCCCTAAAATCAACTGCAAAAAGGTTCATCAAACTGACTGATGATGACTCAGAAATGAGTCTCTCTTGCTGTGTAACATGCTAGAGATAATACCCTGTGTTCTCCAGACGTAATCGCTTACCTGGCGTGGGGAGGAACTGCTCTTTGCACGGCTGCAATCCGTGGGAAATCGAAAGACACTCCCTCTTCCCCCACTGTCGTCCGATTCCGATTTGTGCATCTTCTCATTGTCCCCTTTCTCCCCACCTCCGGCCAGCTCGTTCTGCTTGCGTTTCTTCCTGTGGTTCCGTCTCTCCTTGGCGCTCTTCGAGCTCAGCTTTGACATGCCGGAGGAACTCTGCGACATGTCATACAGGTCATCTGCTCCGCTCCTGTCCTCCGACTCAGCTGCAGCTGCCGCTGCCGCAAGCTGCCAGGGAGAGAGAGAGATCACAGTGGTCAGTGAGGCCACAGACCATAGAAAACAATAATCATAATAATGCGGTCACTCAATCCACCACTGTTTGTGGGACAGACGCTGCTGTGTGCAATTGGCTGCTGCGTTTCGCCCACAAAATATACAGTCAATTCACTTTACAGTGTATCCTGTGAAGCGTTTTGAGACATGATAAGGCGCTGTATCAAATGCAAGGATTATTATTATTCTCTCCAAACCCTTGGACTCTCACCAATTGTCTTCGCGACCTGATTAAGATCAGCTAACAATGTAACACATTACCTCAATCCCTAAATGAGCCTCTATAGTCAGATTTCTCAGCGAGAGGGGAGCTGATTTATTGGAAAGAACACCACCAACAACTTGTATTTATATAGCGCCCTTCACATGGACCAGTGTCACCGCCAGACACCGAGCCAGGGGGAGGGAGGGAGGGAGGGAGGGAGGAAGTGAGCACGTTCGAAGAGGAAGGTCTTGAGCTGTGATCTAAAAGAGGGGAAGGAGGGGAAAGATGGAGTGATTGGGGGAAGGAATTTCAAAGCCTCTGGGTGGAGTGGGTGAAAGTACGGCCTCCGATGGAATGAAGCAAGCTAGGAAAGGCCAGCGCTACAATAGTCATGCAGAGTTCCGTCATGTGGGCTTTTACACACGTGTGTTGTGGTTTAGACACGTAGGGAGGTTGTACCTGAGCTTCTTCCTGTTGCTTTTTCAGTTGTTCGAGCATCAGTTGAAATTCCGCCTCTTTCTGTTCAGCTTCCTCAAGGGTGGCCTGGTTCTGCTCGTCATATGCCATGGCTACCACGGCCAGGATCAGATTCACCAAGTAGAACGATCCCAGGAATATGACCAGCACAAAAAATATCATGTACGTTTTGCCAGCAGCTCGCAGGGTCTGTGAAAACACAATATTAGGCTCGGTCAGGCTATAACGCCCGCAAAACATACAGTCGATTCACTTACAGTATAGCCTGCAAAGTGCTTTGAGACGTCTCGCCCTGCTTACCAGTTGGTAAAGGTTTTCCCAGCAGTCCTGAGTCATCAATCGGAACAATGATAAGAATGCCCAGCTAAAGCTGTCAAAGCTGGTATAACCGTAATTTGGATTCCTTCCACCTTTCATACACGTAAAGCTCTCGGGGCATTTGCTGAGAACATTTGGAAAAACAATCGGAGAGAATAAAAAAGAATAACTGAAAAGTTCAGAGCTCTTGCAAATCCTTATTATATAACACATAATATAATAATATGCGGCTGTGTTATTTAATCAGCATTACACTGGAAAAAAGTCATCCCATCTCATTTGCCTCTCTTGTAATCGAATCTTACAGCACAGCAGGAGGCCATTCGGCCCATCATGCCTGTTGCCGGCTCTTTGTAAGAGCCACCCAATCAGTCCCATTCCCCCGCTCTTTCCCCATAACTTTGCAGNTTTTTTTCCTCTTCAATTATCCAATCCCCTTTTTGAAAGTTGTTATTAAATCTGTTTCCACCAGCCTTTCAGGCAATGCATTCCAGACTGTAACAACTCTCTGTGTAAAAAAAAGATGGTATTCCAAGTGGGATTTACTTACAAAAGGCTTATTGGTAAGATATTAAAATCCCTTCTGCCTTCAAGGTCACACAGTGGACAATGGTGGGTACATGTTATAGCCATGGCTGTTTTTGCCACGTGATGATTACGTATCAGGATGGCTACCAAAGATAATCAAACCAAATCAAACAGAAAACCTAACGTAATTGGGAACATCAGTTGGGACCGTACATTTAATATGATTTATGCAAAGTATGAGTTATGCCAAACTCTTATAAACTCTTGAACGGGGACTTGGGCAGATGTACGACTTGGGCGATAATATGATTTATACAGACAGATCAAACTGATGCAGGTTTTACTGTATTAATAACATCACCCATTCAAAACACCCAATTTATCACAAATTCTTATGACATCACCCAAACCCCTTAAGTCCATGTTAGTTTTTGAGACCTATAACCCCTCCCCCCGGTTTCTATTAAAAAAATTCTGTCCTAACAAGTAAAAACAGATCTATCGCAATACTCTTCTCATACAGCAATTTTCTTTTAAGACATTTTATTTCTGATTCTAAAGTAAATGCAATTGAATGTTAACTCACCCAGCATCAGTACCATTACCACAAAGTAATGCATCCTTGGCTCCTTCCAAGATATAGTAATTTGCTGTTGATTAAAAGTTAAACACAGATATTAAATGCTTGTAATTACTTGAAAAATAGAAACATATATATATACACATATAATATATATAGGATGTTAACAGTGATCCGATACTTAACTAAGTAAAAATTTGTGACCTTCTTTTCATTTCATATTTCCACCTGTTCAGTAAGTTTTTCTTCAAATTTTATTTTAAACAACAGCAACTTGCATTTACACAGCGCCCTTCAGGTGGGGTAGCATCCCAGAGCGCTTGACAGTGGTGGAGTCTGACCTCGAGCCATGGAGAGAGGGAGGGGGGAGGTGACCGTAAGCACGATCAAAAAGGAAGGTCGTTAGGCGGGATTTGAAAGTGGGGAGGGAGGGGGCGAGGCGGAGGGATAGAGGGAGAGAGTTCCAGAGCTTTTAAACCTTTCTAAACCAACTAAAGTGTACAACTAGGACTGTGTGTACGAGAATAATTTTTTTAGCGCGAACATTATTTTGCTTTCGGTTCGATAGCGAAGAACCCAACTGCAAAGTTGTTGTATTGTATCTCTTATCAATCAGGTCTATCAAGACAAAATGAAACCAATTGGAATAGCAAGTGCTTACTCTTGTCCTGGACGTACTCGTCAAAGTCAAATATGTTCTCCGTGTCATTTGCCATGGTTTCATTCAGGACAAGTGAGCTGTTAGTTATATTGAAGTTAAGGGGTGGCCACTTTATACATTTATTCCTTAAATTGCCCATGAACAGTTGTAGGCCAATTAGTGCAAATACGCTCAGACAAAAAACAGTCAGTATCATTACATCCGAGAGCTTCTTCACCGACTGGATCAGGGCCCCCACGATGGTCTTCAAGCCTAAGAGAAACACAGGAGGCTCTTCTGTAACGTTTAATAATAATTACAATATAATAATCCTGCATTTGATACAGCACCTTAGCACATCTTGGATACGTCTCAAAGAGCTTCACAAATTATACTGTCAAGTGAATTGACTGTATATTTTGTGGGAGATATAGCCTGACCTAGCCAATTGTGTACAGTGGAGTCCCACAGACAGTCGTGGATTGAGTGATCAAATTACTATTATTATTTTGAAGGGATTGCTACCCTACTAAAAAGCGATCAGCCAAATCGACTGACAACTGAGTTCCTACTTATTGCTCGGTAAACAGAGGCCTAATTTGCCTAACCTGTCGCCCTGCCCAGGAAGAGCGAGTGCTCTAACCAATGCACTATAAGTGACACATGGAATACTCAAACACCTATATATAACACGGGGGCTTTGGAGTACAAAGGATGTCTGACGATGATGAAGCCTTCATGTCATTCATCATGTTATGTGCAGGTTTCATTTTCTCATCTCTATCAAAGTGGAAATTCAATACCTTACCTTCTTTTGTTATTTTAATTTTGAAAAAGTATTTTTAGATGAATTTAAATTGTTGTGCTTATCCTCAGATTGATAGGAAAAGCGCACCATTAAAAAAAAATATACACACATTTGCCAAATCCATTGAATAATTTGCGCAACAGAATAGGGAACACTTGACATCACAAAATGCATGGTGGATATTTCGATGCCTCATGCAAGAAATAGTTAAACGCCAAGGCTGAAACCAGAAACAGAACACAAGGAAATTAAATTAAATGAATAAAAACGCCCAAAAACCAAAAGATTTTAATGAGTCGAAAGCATTCTCTCAGAATCCTGCTTTTTTTTTTGTGGGACATGGAGAAAAAGCAACCGGATGGATCCATGTGTGTTTCAGAATGTTTTATAGATATTATTATTATTCAGTACAAGATAAATAAAATGTAAAGCAGTCTCGGTGTTTAACCTGGATTCTCACCTGGAATAACTGAAATTGTTTTCAGTGCTCGGAGAACTCTGAATGTTCTCAAGGCTGAGACATTGCCCAGGTCCACAAATGCTGTCAGATATCTGTAATGGGGGACACACACAGACACAATGACAGGACACAGAGATACAGCTCGAGCTACATCAGGGCCTGTGTCGGGGCACCTGAGACCAATCACATCTTAACTGGTATTACAGAAATAGTTTTCAAAGCTCTCAACACTCTGAAAGTTCAAAGAGCTGAAACATTATTTTGCTTTTGCTATTTATCCCTCTACCTGAACACTAAAGCCATCCGTCGTGAAGCTATTGTGGTCATGGAATGGTTTACTCAGCAAAAAAACAGACCCCATACATTTGAAAGCGTGTGTATGGTTAGTATGGCTCAGTGATACACCAAGTAAGTCAACAACGAACATCCTGAAACTGCAATTGGTCTGGGTTTCTCCAAAAAAAATGGCACTTTGGACAGGGTGACTGCTGACGGTGTTTGCCAGAAACATTGTAATTTTTGTCACCCGGATGTGCCTTTGTCTCTATTTAACATGTCATTTACAGGGATAGAGATAGACTAATCCAAAGGACAACATCTTACTATTATTGTGAATACTTACGCCATGAGAATAACACTGAAGTCCAGCCAGTTCCATGGGTCTCGAAGGAAAGTGAAAGAATCTATACAGAAGCCCCTTGCAAGAATTTTTATAAGCGATTCAAATGTGTAAATACCAGTGAACGTGTACCTAGTGGGATTGTAAAAATAAAACTGTTCAATCATTTCCATTGAGAAATATCACTCAGCAGAGAGAATGTGGCAACTGTCATTATCAATAAAACCTCAGTTTAATCTGTCACATGTATATATCAGGGCAAAACTATTCTAAGGTAAAATCAGCAACCATTGTGTCTCGTGGTCACACTGCACCTATAAGTCTATAAAGAGCATTTACCCGCCCCGCCCTCCACCAACAAAAAGGTTATTTAATAGATTAACTACTACTTCTCTAATATGAAGGATATCACTGAACAATTCATCTCTTTTGACCAAATATTCTTTAACTATGATCTTCATTCCTATTAAATCAAACACAATGGAATTTGCGTGCTCTTTTGTGAACGCCTAGAACTGCATTATTTTAGTTTTAATTTTCACTTTTGTTTTCTCCTTAATTCAGTTACAGATTTCCTAATCACATTTAAGTGAAACGGGGAAAAAAAAATCTACCATTGTAGATTTAACTTAATTGTTAATGTTCTTCCTACAAAATAACTTTGTTCAGTGAATGGGTAATATTGCTAGCGGCTCAGCACACCATACGTTCCGCAAACACATTTCAAAACTTGCTTAACTGTATTACAACAACAAAAACAACAACAAATGACATTTACACAGCGCAATTTATGTCGGGAAGACTGCCCAAGGCACTGGACAGTCAGGGATTTGGACCTGAGCTGGGGGTTGAAGATGGGGTTGAGATAATAATAATAATCCTTGCATTTGATATAGTGCCTTATAAAGTCTTCTCGATGTCTCAAAGCGCTTCACAGAATATACTGTAAAGTGAATTGACTGTATATTTGTGGGCGAAACGCGGCAGCCAATTGCGCACAGCAATGTCCCCACAAACAGTCGTGGATTGAAATGACCAATTTACTATTGTTTTTTCTTGAGGGATTATTATTAGATGTGCCTTGAATGTGGCAACTTATCAGAGCTACGTATTAAAAGAAAAAAAAGAAAAAATAGAATGTAGAAAACTATCATTCGGTAAAAATAAAGGTTTAAAATTTTCTGATATGACTAATGTATTCTTAATAAGCTATGAAGCCTTGATCTGCTTTACATTTAACACTTGTAAATAATCCACATAATCCACAGCATAATGGGTACTTACTCTACATTCTTTGTCCATTCTGGAGGGTTACTCAGAGTCATAAACACACAGTTGGTCAAAATGGTGAACATGATAAGTATGCTGAACAATGTGGAATCCAGTCAAGGAAAGCACAGATTGCTAAATCTACAAATAAACTAGTCTGAATCCCAGTTAAATTTACAACAATGTCTGGAAATGACATCATTCCATTTCATGATAAAATGAAATATTTGAAAATTGAGTTAAAAAGTAAACTCAGAAAAACACCGATTTCCCCCTAAGGCGTGTGGAGTAAGGAAACTTGCCCAGCGCTTCACCCTGCCCAGGAATCGAACCCGGGTCCTCTCGCTTGCAAGACAAGTGCTTAATAACTGGAAAGGGTGTCAGCAAGAATAGCTGATAGTAAGATGTTGAACCCATTTAAGAAAGAGTTTGGCTGCTCTAATGGGAGGATGGGAAGGTGGGCATTCTTGAAGGTTGAGATCAAATGGGTTAAAGATCTTTCTTTCTTCTCTTACCATCTAGTTTTGATCACAGGAAAGAGACAGTGTCCTTTTTATAAATGTGAGTTTAACAGATATTGAAAAAACACGCACTAGTGAAAGGATATGAATGTACCAAAATCTTAATAGCTGTTCTCCTTAAAGGATTGAAAGGACTTAAAATGTACAAGGCAGGACTGGCGCTAAATCGGAAGATTGCCTTCCCTTTGTTCAATACTATAAAGGTCTGTAAGAGAAAAAACATAGAGTGCATGATTAGAAGGTTCATCTACATCCATATAGTAAGCAGCAAAATACATATTTATATACATTATTCTATCATGTTCTCCAAGAAAATCTGGAACAGCAACGACATTCAATTTCATACCTTATTTTTCAAGACATTTCTCGCACTGACTGTTCCATGTTAGATACCTGAATAGATGTTTGTTAGGTCAGGGTATTAAGGGATATGGGATGGGGCAAGAGAGAGTAATTGGAGTTCAGGTACAGATCAGCCATGATCTTACAGAATGGCAGAACAGGCTCAAGGGGCTGAATGGACTATCCTTGTTGCTAGGTACGTTACTGCACATGCAATGCTCCAATAATTGACAAACACACGTTACGCTAAGGTCAAATAAGTCAAAATCTAACCTAATAATTAACATCACCAAATAAAATGGATTCGGACATAAATGTATAAACATATTGTGCGCTTAATACACAACTACACTGCGCAGTGGGTTTTACTACACATTTAAAGACATTGTCAGGTTTTCTTATGCGAATAGAAAACTTGGGGAGGACAAGTTTGCAGGGCTATGGGGAGAGAGCAGGTGAGTGGGATTGAATGGAGGCTCTTTTAAAAGAGCCGACACAGACACGATGAGCTGAATAATTCTGTGCTGTATAATTCTATGATTCTGTGAAATTTTACGCTATCACCAGTAATCATATTTATGGTTCTGTGGAAAGTAATCACCATTTCTCTGTATAATTTCCTTGCAGGCCACACCTACTGCTCAGATTTCTCACACAAATGTTGACAAACGTAGATTACACAGCGAAAGCCTATCTTATACGTATCTAGACCCCATTTTATAAAAAATTCCATCCGGGAGATTTCCAGATCCCGTCCTGCCCCCTAAAAAAAATCTTCTGCTTATCAAAAAAAAACTCTTGGACAATTGCACATTTCACCCGAATCCCAAAGGCAGAACATTTATAGATATCTATCATTTCTCGAACTCTTGAAACTCACAGAAACACTTTCACAAAGTGACAATTTGTACCGTGTCCAGCCTCCGGTTTTGAAACCATTTCAAACCTTAAAGAGGTCCCAGTGATTGTATTGGGTCAGACTACAAACCAAATCACCCATTTTCCACAATGACAATATTTCCAATCTTAAGATTGAGGACTTTACACTTAAATATTACACTTAAACAACAGAAAACAACGACGGTTAACAAACACGATATTCAACTTGATAATAAAATTGCACAAACTGACCCACTGTGATCGGCCCAAAATAACACACAGCTCACTTTCACCTCCTGCAAGAAGTAACTTCATGGCAGCCATTTTGCCTCTGTGCTTCATTAAACCAGGCTGCCTCCCTCATCATCCTTAATTAAGACTTTCTCTAGAAATTGCCACTTTTCTTCAAATCAAATGTCTCACAAACATGGCATCCGTGCTTATCTGTCCTTTGTTTTTCCTCTTCGGTTTATCATTTGACCTTGTCGGGTCCCGTAAATTATCTTAACCGTAGAGTGAGATAAGATGGGCATTTACTGGTTTAGAAAGGAATCCAAACACTCACTTTTGTCGTGCTATAAAATGCATCCAGGTCTTCCAAAGGTTCAGAAACCATCGCTGAAGGTAAGTCACCGTAAATAAATGGTAGTGATTTGCCAGCTTCCAAGTCACTATTTGGCTTTGGGCCATTTTCATCATCGTCGTCCCGATGGCTCTTGGGTTTCTTGGCCACCTCCTCTGCAATGCGACTCTCGATAGCTGCGAGAGATTCCTGGGTAAACAGGCGCAGGCTGTGTGGTCCTGGTGGTACAAGCAGCGACTGCGCCATCTTTTCATCGTGCACCTTCGGTCTCAACGTCTAGCCTCTTGCAGAAGAAGGCGCTACGTCAAAACACACACAATAATTCATAGAAAAATAATATTCGTACTGAAAGAACAACCAGTCGTTTCGCCCACAAAATCTACAGTCAATTCACTTTACAGTGTATTACAAGAATAATAATCCTTGTATTTGATACAGCGCCTTATCACGTCTTTGAGACGTCTCAAAGCGCTTCACAGAATATACTGTAAAATGTAGTGACTGTATATTTTGTGGGCGAAATGCAGCAGCCAATTGCTCATAGCAGCGTCCCACAAACAGTCATGGATCGAGTGACCAAATTATTATTATTTTTATACACTCTTGTTCTGAAGAAGCAAACAGAAGGATACAGCCTGAAGAGAGGGTAAATTGATGGTGAGGAAATGGAATGTGATAGATGTGGTTATGGACTTCTGAAGCCTCTTTCATCGCAGAAGGGGATGTGGAAAAGCTACGAAGAGATGACTGAAAACTACATTTAATGGAATACAGAAGCCACTCTGAAGGAAGAGAGGTGTCATGGGAACGACAAAAGAGTAAGTAGGAACCTGATTGTTAGTTGATTGGCGGATCGCTTTTCCGGGGGTAATAATCCCTTCAAAAATAATAATTTGGTCACTCAATCCACGGCTGTTTGTGGGACACTGCAGTGAGCTACTGGCTGCCTTTTTTTTAAGTGATTACTTAAGGAAACTTGCCTACAGTTTCGCCCTGCCCGGGAATCAAACTCAGATGCTCTAACCACAAAGCTACAGGACTTGTGCAAAGCATGAGTTATGTGAAACTTATAAATGATAGGAAATCCAATGGGAACTTGGGAAGATGTACAACTTAGGCAAATATATGATTTATATAGATCAGATTTATGCGAGTTTTACTGAGTCGTTTCTATCTCATCATTCCTCTACACCTCACTGCTCAAAAGGCCTAATCCCGTACCGACAATACCAACCTAATTGCCACGAGCTGTGATCACACCACACCTCATTTTCGAACCAAACTAAAAGCAAACCAAAATTCTGATTATATGTGTGTCTATGTTGCTGCTGTTGTTGTTGCTGGACAAACGTCTTGTTCCGCAAGGTTTTGAACCTGCTTTGACCATTTGATAAATGATTTATCAGTGATTTAATGGCTTTATTCTAAACTACTCTATAATACATATTATGGGCTCCACTTCACCACACACATTAAAAAAAATCTGCTTTATTTATTTGTCCTGAAGCTGATGGGCTTCCTGGCAGCCTGCGATGGCAATAGATGATGCATTAGATAGATGATACATCCTCTCCACGTAACTGGAATTATCAAGCACTTAAACCATGTGAGCAGTTTAATTTCCAATCAGGCCGGAAACATTTCTTTTATTGGACAACATTTGCAAAAAAAAATTAACGAAAATGCATCTGCATTCGGGAAAATAAATTTTTTTTAAAAAAAAACTGCTGCAAAACACAATAAAACATGTCCAAGAGTTTACACTGAACTAGAATCTAGTCTGGATCACATTCGGCAGCTCAAAGCAACTCCATTACATGGGGTGTGGTCTGACAGCACACACACATACAATGATGTGTGGTGAAACGGGGATTTGTTTTTCACTCATCCACCAAATATACTTGATTCTACACATCAGATCGGTTGCACAAACACACTTTCTGTTTGCATTCTTTTTATATACACAGTCACGATATCTACCCTGTTATCTAAAACACAACATAAATATCACCATTTCTTTAAGACTTATCAGAGATTGTAATGGTATCATGACCCTGGATATTAAAATAGCGTCATATTTGTGTGGAGCAAAAAAGCGACATATTTCTCTTTTGAAGAGAAACAAACACCAAACAGTGCGTGCAGAACAGAAAATGGCCTGATAACGAATGAATAATTCAGTGAGACATGAAGCCGGGCTGAACCCTGTGAGATTGGGACAAACTATGAGCTGAGCCAATTTGGCAAATTTACATTCTGCTTTTACCCTACATGAAAATCCCCCAGTGCAGGTTTTAGCACTCGTTGAAATGAGCATCTTGTGTTTGTCAACCTGCCACTGATAAACAGCTCTGTCCCCTTTCAGTGCTGACCTGGAGATAATAATATACACAATAATCTTTGCATTTGATACAGCGCCTTATCACTTTTCGAGATGTCTCAAAGCGTTTCACAGAATATCCTGTAAGGTGAACTGACTGTACACTTTGGGGGTGAAACACAGCAGCCAATTGTGCACAGCAGCGTCCCACAAACAGTCATGGATTGATTATTATTATTATTATTTTTGAAGGGATTATTGCCCCCGAGAAAGCAATCTGCCAATCGACTAACACCCAGGTTCCTACTGACTGCTGGGAAACAGAGGCGTGTGGAGTAAGGAAACTTGCCCAAGGTTTCGCCCTGCCCGGGAATTGAACCCAGGTCCTCTCGCTTGCGAGGGGAGTGCTCTAACCGCTAAGTAACGGGACTTCAGGTACAGGCGATTTCCCTAACAGTCAATTAATTGCCCACATCACGCTTTGAGAGGTGTGTGTAATGTGTTTGTTGGTCAGTTACCGACAACAATTTTCAAGCATTGCCACCGAGTCCTATCTCAGGATAACATTCTTTCGATCAGTGGCTTTATAATTGCAGAGCAAATAAATCGGTCCATCAGCCTAATGAAACACAAGAGTTATTCATATCTCCACAGTTCAACATCTAAATATGATTGGCATTTGAACCCGATTGCTGCTTTTACACCATGGGTCCGAAACTCTGTCTGTCCAGCGACTTGGGACGTTCTCCCAATGTGAAAGGTGCTATACAGATGTAATTTTGTTGTTGTTGCTGTTGTTAACAGAGGAAACTCCCTGATAAGAGGCTGTGGTTTGTAGTAAGCTGGGTATGTACTGTAAATATATATATGTGTGCATATCCAAATCCCTGACTGTCCAGTCCTTGTGAAGCCCTCCTAACATGAAAGGTGCTACACAAATGTAATTTGTTGTTGTTATAGGGCTAACTCTGAGCTGTAAATATTTAAGTGTCTTATTGACTTAACGGTCTTCTCATTGTTAATCGTAGAAGATAAATAAGACTACCTTATTTTATTTTCCCTGCAATAGTTTGTAATTTTATGAACTACTGGCTTGTTGGACTGTGTCCTGAACCACTGATGCTCCACTGGAGTCTAATTGTTGTGGTGGGAGCCATCCATCTGCCATTAGAATCCACGGAAGTTTTGTAGCACTTCCCAGGTCTGCCCGCTCCATCCCATCACTTTTCCTGACCTGACACTTACTCTCGCTCTAACTTTGAAAGGTCTCCATCCCACTTTGTCCTTCTCCACAGACCCTTTCTCTTTTGAGACCTGAACTTCTCCATCTTACTACCAGGCTGGCACCGATTCTAGCCAACTCCATTCCTCAAACTCTCCTGTCTTCTCATTATTCTTCCCCTATTCCGATCCCTTTCTTGACCGGGTCAAGTTCTCCTTTCCTGCCTACAGCGGACCAAAGCCTTGTGTCAACCGTAACGTTATATGACGGTTTCACTGGTACTCCATCCCACCCCTTTCTATGCAGATAATTCCACCAGAAATGGGACAAAACTGGAAATATATCTCAGGGAATTCAAAAAAACAATTTCATCTTATGGGCACAAAAATAAATAACACCAGTTGCTCTTTGGTTTTTTGGGGGTTTTGGAACGCAATGTTTTAATAATAGTAATAATGTTAATCCTTGCATTTGATATTTCCTCAGACCATATTTCATGGCTATCCGTGTTATATCTATATTATATCTATTATTATTATTAGTGTTATATCTATACATCTATATTTCAAGGATTATTAACACATTTTGTTAGTTTTCCAAAAATAAAGTTAGAAGTTGAGCTATTTCATTTTGGGGGGAGAAATTGTAAGACTTATGTGTTAATAACAAAATGTTAGTTTGAGCAACAACAAAAAGACATTTGTAGAGCGCCTTTCATGTCGGGAGGACATTAAAACTATTAATATCATACTGGAAATCTTGTGCAGGTATTAGGTGCAATTAGTAATAATCGGCCCTGTAATACTTTTACGGATGTATAATATTTCATGACAGTCGAACAATTATTCTTTCCCTCTTAAATGTACCTTTTTGTTTAATACATACATGACTATGGTGTGAGTTGCCTGTTGATTATATATATTAAATAAAATATATTACTAAATATTTTCCCTGGATAAAAGCCAGTAGTACAACATTGTTTGGTTGGAAACCTAGTCATGTGTGTTGTACGAAGCTGGCTGTGCTAGAAAATTCTCTCGGCATCACAGTGTGGTCGATGACTGCATATAAAATGTGATGATTTTAACATGAAGCAATGTACAGAATAATTCCTCGGCTAAGGAAAATAAGGTAAGGGTATTAACACTATCAGGTATTTTTTAAAAAAGCAAATTGCCCTCAGTGACCACACATAATAATACAATTATAACTTTACACATTATATTAGTCCACAAAATATACAGTCAATTCGCTTTACAGTATAATCTGTGAATCCCTTTGAGAGTGCAAGGATTATTATTATTATTATTATTATTACTGCACGCGTTTCGAGATCTGTTACTATATTGAAGACGTTTATATTCCTAATTCCGTGTGAAGACACGCAACTCTGACAAAACACATCTTTGAAGGCCACCATACATAAAAGATTTGAATTGTTTACAGTCACCCACAGTTTGATTGTAGCAACACTGATGGGATGCTCGGATAATTAAGAAATCCTGAAGATTTTTAGTGCGGGGTCTTATCTGTCTCCCCTTGGTCTCTGCTCCAAGTTTTATGAATGGAAACTGGTTCAATACTGGTTCAAAAAGTCACACAAAACGAGAGGGAAATGCTGTGATTTCAGCACAGCAGTAAGCCAAGCACACTCCATACAGCCACGATAAACCACAGCCACAAAAATAAACCATTACCTAGCGACTGCCTGAGGAAACGCGTCTTCCATATTGGAGACAACTGAATCAAAGAGATCTATCTGGGGAGGAATGGCACATTGCTGTTTTCGCCAGCTTCAAAAACAACCCGACATCAAACCAGTCACCGCATCGCCTCCCGAAGGGAGTCTAATCCCAATTGAAGAGGATCATTCTCAGCCACAAAACAGAAGGAATAAGATTGTTTAGCAGCACCCTCTCACCCACATTTACTGGGCACCCATCATCCTCGGTCAACAGTGTAGTATTTAGCATTAAGCAAGCCCTATTTCTGAAACTTGTGGAGAGGCACAGGCACACACCTACAGGCACACACCTACAGGCACACACACAGGCAGACACACACACAGACACAGACAGGCACAGATACACACAGACAGACGGGCACAGGCACACCCACAGATACACATACAGACAGACACACACAAACACACACACACACACAGGTAGACACACAGACAGGCATAGATACACACACACACAGACACAGACAGGCACACACACGCAGATACACATACAGACACACACACACACAGACATACACACCCACACACAGGCACAGACACACACACAGACATACACACCCACACACAGGCACAGACACACACACACACACAGACATATTGAGGATTCAGGGCTGGTCAGACACAGAAGCTCCAGAGACAGAGAGTGGGGGAGACACAAAGAGAGACAGACAGACAGACAGAGTGGCCAAGCCTCTCAGCTAAGTATCGATCAGGCAGCAGCAGCAATCCCCACCCCCACCAGACAACAAATGGATCTCCTTTAAATTATTATTCTTCTTCTTATTAATAATATTCAGCCAGATTGGCAGAGACACAAGGAGCTGAGCTTACAGTTTGGCAGCGAGGCGTCGGCCAGGGTTTGATGCTCAGGATAGCTGTCGCCATGTTAGACTTCCCCCAAGTCCCAGCTCCATCTGTCTCCCTCCAACATCTCCTCCCACCCCACCCCACCCCACCCTCAGCACCAGCCCCCACCCCCTCCCTCTCCCACACATGACCAGTAGCCTCTGCACGTCACCCACACCCTCTGACTGTCCTGCAAACACAGAGCAAATACTGTTGGAATTGGAATCAATCTCTTCCCATTGCAGCACAGGGCTCCTCTCCACCCTCACCCTCACCCCCACCCCCACCCTCACCCCCCCTCACCCCACACCCACCCTCACCCTCACCTCACCCCCACCCTCACCCCCACCCCACCCTCACCCCCACCCTCACCCCACCCTCACCCCCACCCTCACCCCCACCCCACCCTCACCCCCACCCCCACCCTCACCCACACCCCCACCCTCACCCCCACCCCCACCCTCACCCCCCCCCCCCCCCCCCACCCCACCCCCACCCCCACCCTCACATACCCCCCACCCCCACCCTCACCCCCACCCCACCCTCACCCCCACCCTCACCCCCACCCCACCCCCACCCTCACCCCCACCCCCACCCCACCCCCACCCTCACCCCCACCCCACCCCACCCCCACCCTCACCCCCACCCTCACCCCCACCCCCACCCTCACCCCCACCCCCACCCTCACCCCCACCCCCACCCTGGGAGCTCCCTGGCCATCACACCACACACACACACACACTACAGACATAATGTGTATGTTGCAATATACAGGGAATAAACACAGAGTTGTATATATATAGTGTAGCTGTATCTGTATCAGACTGATGTGCATTTACACACACACTATATATATATTAATGTACATGTTGCAATATACAGAGAAACACCCTTTTGTTTTCATTTACTTTTAAGTCCAAATGAATCAATATCGTGTGTATCACTGTCCAAGTGTATCGTTGACACTGCAATCCCTGGTTTCAGATCCTCATGGCCAACAAAGCTGCTTCCACTCTTGTTATATTTCTTGACTTTATCATTATATTATGTTATTCTGGCAATAATCTAAGGTTTATATGCAAATACCTCTTTCCTTCCACGTGAATTATGATATCGTAAACTCCCATTATTACATCCCATTTAGCACTTGATATAAGACGAATGTAATCGACATAGTTTACTTTGAAAATAATATTTAAATCAATGTCTGTGTTATGTTTCATTACTGCCTTTGCCTTAAAATCACACAAACAGGTGCCACACATTGTACTGAGGCTAAAATGTCTAAAATGTTTAAGTTTGCAATATATATATATATATATTTTCACAGTGAGGGGGAGTTTTTAGTTTGGATTTGACGATTGAATATTTTTCAATATTTTCGCAGTTGAACGTTTCTTTTTATTCTTACACTGTGTGCAACACGTTACACCATTAACACACAACCACCACAATGTCTCTGTCCTTTTTGTGTGGAGGTTTCCAAATGGAAACCAGCGTTTGGCGATTTTATTCAGTATTGCACTAACCATCGACTGCCATCACCAAACCTTTGTCTGAGCTGTTGTTGGATGTATTTTCAAGTGCAGTATTTTTTGGGGGAAATGGCATAGATTCCATTTTACAGATATTAAACCATTTTAACAAGTGTGGAAATATAATGTAAGACTAATCTCGTCAGTCAATACCAAAAGGCTTTGCCAGTTTGGTTTGTGGGGGTGTTGGGGCTGTGTGTGTGTGGGGGGGTGTTGGGGCTGTGTGTGTGTGGGGGTGTTGGGGCTGTGTGTGTGTGTGGGGGGGTGTTGGGGCTGTGTGTGTGTGGGGGTGTTGGGGCTGTGTGTGTGTGGGGGGGTGTTGGGGCTGTGTGTGTGTGTGGGGGTGTTGGGGCTGTGTGTGTTTGTTGGGGCTGTGTGTGTGTGTGGGGGTGTTGGGGCTGTGTGTGTGTGTGGGGGTGTTGGGGCTGTGTGGTGTGTGTGTGGGGGGGGGTGTTGGGGCTGTGTGTGTGGGGGGGTGTTGGGGCTGTGTGTGTGTGTGGTGGGGTGTTGGGGCTGTGTGTGTGGGGGGGTGTTGGGGCTGTGTGTGTGTGTGTTGGGGCTGTGTGTGTGTGTTGGGGCTGTGTGTGTGTGTTGGGCTGTGTGTGTGTGTTGGGGCTGTGTGTGTGTGTGTTGGGGCTGTGTGTGTGTGTGTGTGTTGGGGCTGTGTGTGTGGGCTGTGGGTGTGTGTGTGTGTGGGGGGGGGTGTTGGGGCTGTGTGTGTGTGTGTTGGGGCTGTGTGTGTGTGTGTGTGGGTGTGGTGGTGTGTGTGTGTTTGGGCTGTGTGTGTGTGTGTGTGTGTTGGGGCTGTGTGTGTGTGGTGTGGCTGTGTGTGTGTGTTGGTGTGTGTGTGTGTGTGTGTGTGTGTGCACTAACCATCCCCTCTGACTGTCCTTTGTGGCAATGATGGCTGTAAACCTGATCTGATCGGTAGTTATTTCCTGGACTCTGTGTGTATTCTGTGTGAGTGTGAGTGTGAGTGTTATTCCTTCCACAGTCCGCAGGGAAGCGGTGCTATGCTCAACCCACGTCCCCAAAAAAAGATTCTGGAAAGGTCTGAACACGAGGACCACCCAAACCCTCACATCTCTCCACCAACTCTGTGCTCCGCAGATCACTATCCACTCAGTTCAGAAGCATTTTTTGTTTCCTGGAAAAACTGGTAGTGGTGACTATTATTATCAGAGGGTCACCTCCTCCCGTCTCCTCCTCTCCAGTAGACACATTCGCACTTGATGGAAAATAATAGATGGAAAATAATAGATGGAAAATAATAGATGGAAAATAATAGATGGAAAATAATAGATGGAAATAAAGTTACGGTTAAAACACATTTTCAGTTGGAAAGAAGAACAGTCTGTGTACAAACAGACAGTGTACTCACCATCGCCCCCGGTCTGTGTGTGTGTGTCTGTGTGTGTGTCTGTCTGTGTGTGTGTCTGTCTGTGTGTGTGTGTGTGTGTGTCTGTGTGTGTGTCTGTCTGTGTGTGTGTCTGTCTGTGTGTGTCTGTGTGTGTGTCTGTGCGGAGAGTCGCTCTTCACCACAGATTGATTGAGCTTCTGGTTTGCACACCGGCTGATGGCTGAAGGCTTCCCCTCTCCCCTCCCCCCCTCTCTCTCCTCTCCCCCTCTCCTCTCCCCCCTTCTCCTCCTCTCCTCTCCCCTCTCCCCCTGTCCCCCCCTTCTCCTCTCCCCCCTCTCTCCTCTCCCCCCTTCTCCTCCTCCCCCCCTCTCCTCTCCCCCTCTCCTCTCCCCCTCCCTCTGCCCCTCTCCTCTCTCCTCTCCCCCTCTCCTCTCCCCCCCTCCCCCTCTCCTCTCTCCTCCCCCCCTCTCCTCTCCCCCCTCTCCTCTCCCCCCTCTCCTCTGCCCCCCTCTCCTCTCTCCTCCCCCCCTCTCCTCTCCCCCTCTCCTCTCCCCCCTCTCCTCTCCCCCCTCTCCTCTCCCCTCTCACCCTCTCTCCTCTCCCCTCTCCCCCTCTCCTCTCCCCCTCTCCCCCTCCCCTCTCCCCCTCTCCTCTCCCCCCTCTCCCCCTCTCCTCTCCCCTCTCCCCTCTCCCCTCTCCTCTCCCCCTCTCCTCTCCCCTCTCCCCCTCTCCTCTCCCCCCCTCTCCCCCTCTCTCCTCTCCCCTCTCCCTCTCCTCTCCCCCTCTCCCCTCTCTCCTCTCCTCTCTCCCCCTCTCCTCTCCCCCTCTCCCCTCCTCTCCTCTCCTCTCTCCCACCTCTCCTCTCCCCTCTCCTCTCCTCTCTCCCCTCTCCTCTCTCCTCTCCCCCTCCCCTCTCCCCCCTCTCCTCTCCCCCTCTCCTCTCCCCTCTCCCCCCCTCTCCCTCTCCTCTCCTCTCTCTCCTCTCCTCTCCCCTCTCCCTCTCTCCTCTCCCCCTCTCCTCTCTCCTCTCCCCTCTCCTCTCCCCTCTCCCCCTCTCCTCTCCCCCTCTCCTCTTGTCTTTCTATTTGCAAAGTCGGAGTGATGACTGTTCAGTCCAGAACTGATTGTGGGTCCACAGTGAATCAGACCGTTGCCATTGCATTGCTAAATCTCTCCTCTTCTCGTAACACCCCCCTCACCCCCCCTCATACTCACCCCCTCACACCCCCCCCCTCACCCCCCCCCTCACCCACCCCTCACACCCCCCCTCACTCACCCCCCTCACCCCCCCCCCTCACACACCCCCCCCCACCCCCCCCTCACCCACCCCTCACACCCCCCTCACCCCCCCCTCACACCCCCCCCCTCACACCCCCTCACCCCCCCCTCACACACACCCCCTCACCCCCCCCTCACACACCCCTCACTGATGATCCTCCCTCCACCCAGTCCTGGGGGTGAAGCACCGATGGCGGTTGATGATGGGGGAGAGGGTTACACTCGTCTCCCTTCGTTGTAGACGATGTGAAGAATCAATCCGCCCGATCTCTGTCACCGTGTAAACCTGGTCCAGCAATGCCCCATTGGCCAGGGCCGGGGGGGGGGGGGCGGGCTGGGGGGGGGGGGGGGGGGCGGGGGGGGGGGGGGGGCGGGCTGGGGGGGGGGGGGCGGGCCGGGGGGGGGGGGGGCTGGGGGGGGGGGGGGGGGGGGCGGGGGTGGGGGGCGGGCTGGGGGGGGCAGTGACACACAGGCAGTGTGTGTGGTGATGGTGATGGTGTGGTCCTGTCCTGGTGTCTGAACAATCATTTTCAACACAACAAATGCTATTCGTATCACTCCCAGAGCACTGGCGGCTGCTGACAGCCCCCCCCACCCACCAGCCCCCCCCACCCCACCCCCACCAGCCCCCATCAGCCCCCACCCCACCAGCCCCCCCACCCCACCCCACCAGCCCCCCCCACCCCACCCCACCAGCCCCCCCACCCCACCCCACCAGCCCCCATCAGCCCCCACCCCACCAGCCCCCCCCACCCCACCCCATCAGCCCCCACCCCACCAGCCCCCCACCCCAGACCCCCCCCCACCCCAGACCCCCCCCCACCCAGCCCCCCCACCCCAGCCCCCCCACCCCACCAGCCCCCCCCACCCCAGCCCCCACCCCACCAGCCCCCCCCACCCCAGACCCCCCACCAGCCCCCCCACCCCAGCCCCACCAGCCCCACCAGCCCCACCAGCCCCCCCCCACCCCACCAGCCCCCCATCAGCCCCCACCCCAGCCCCCATCACCCCCCCAGCCCCCCCCACCCCTCACCCCAGCCCCCACCCCACCAGCCCAGCCAGCAGCCCAGCCCGCAGCCCACCCCACCAGCCCAGCCAGCAGCCCAGCCCAGCCTGGCTCATCAGCAGGACCTGAAAAGGGCAGACCAGTCACTGGGATGGGGATGGGGGTGGGCGGAGGCAGGCCGGCCAACCCCCACTCAGCTCCTGTTAACCCTGCGAGCCAAAGCTCTAAGGGGTACGGTGGTCGGAGCTGGACAAGCAGCAGGAAGGCTCGCCAGACTGTGCTCTCAATGGCCAAGCTATGTGTGTGTTTAGCTGGTTAGACTCCAGCAGTTATAATAATAATAATCCTTGCATTTGATATAGCGCTTTTCACGTCGGGAGGACGTCCCAAAGCGCTTCACAGAATATACTGTAAAGTGAATTGACTGTATATTTGTGGGCGAACGCGGCAGCCAATTGCGCACAGCAATGTCCCACAAACAGTCGTAGATTGAAAGTGACCAATTTATTATTGTTTTTGGTTTTGGAGGGATTATTATTATGCAGGAAACTCAAGCTTTCCTTATCATCACTTCTGCTTAACAGAATGACTCTATCCCCCCAATGGAATTCATTATAATTACATTTTAAAAAGGCAGATAGCCTATTTTTTGTAGCACATTTCGGAACAGAGATTTTTACAAGTTCACAATATAACTGAGGCTAGTGAACAAATGTCCTCTTCAAGCGTGCCTTCGGTCACCCTCCTACCCTCACCCTCCCTGCCCTCCACCCCTCCTGATCCCAACTCCCAGCTCAGGTCTAAATCTGTAACTGTCCAGTGCCTTGGAATGTCCTCCTGACGTGAAAGGCGCCGTGTAAATGTATTTTGTTGTTGTTTTTAACTGAGGAAGCTTAATGAGATGAAGCATTTAAATTGTACTGGAGCCCTGGAGAAGGAAGATACTGGTGGGAGAAGGTAAAACAGGAAATCCAGTGGTATAACAGTGTAATCTTGTAAGGCACAAAGTTCATGAGTCTACTATTTAACTAAATCCTCTTTATTGCCTTGAATTATACCTGAGAATGGAAAGATAGATTATCCCAATGTTCAAAAGAAGGGACGAGACAGACACCAGGATTATGGACTGTGATAATTTGTAAACGAGATTAATAACCTTAAATGGCATCTTGGCCCATTAAGTGTATGGACTCAGTTGTAGCTAATGAATTTTGATAAGGGTAAATATTAGATCATGCACATTTGAACAGGAAACATGTGCAGGCAATAAGGAATATCCATTAGCAGAGGGTAACTTATTGGCCATTCATTGGAAGGGAATGTGAACCATTTCAACAACGTTTCTTATGCACGACACATCTCAGCATTTACACTGCCCAAGTGACGGTGAATTGCACCACGACTTTGTCAGTAATTCTCCCCAAATGGGCCCTGTAAATAATATCACAAATCGCACTGAATGTGTTTGTGGGAAGCTGCTGTGACCAATTGGCTGCCCCGTGTTTCGTCCACAAAATACACAATCAATTCACTTGACAGTTTATTCTGTGAAGTACTTTGAGACGTCTTGGGGGCATAATAAGCACTGTGTCAAATGCAAGGATTATTGTTATTATTATTATATTATCTCTCTCCTCCAGTGTTGCCCAAATGCTCGTTCAAGCCTCTGGAGCTGACTTTTCAAATGCCTTCCTCACCAGCTCCAACTCCATCCCAAACTCTCCTGCCCACACCCTTAATAATAATAAAAAGAAATATAATCAGTTGACCCACAGAGACAGGGCTTTCCATGGACATATTGGGTTTAGAGGTAGTTAAATCGCAAACGGAGTGCACTTACCATGTGTTGGCGCTTTGGGATGTCCTCCCGATGTGAAAAGCGCTCCATAAGTAATTTTGTAGTTGTTGTTGTTGTTGGACCTACCCATGGAGTTAGAGTCTCATTAAATCAGGAGCATAACCAGAAACTTGGTGCACAACGTGCAGTGTTTCAGCCCAGTTTTATACACATGTTTTGGATGCTAATAGGAACTGATAGAACCAGGTCATAAGTGTGGGAAATACATAAGCATCCCACAGCACACAGGGAAAACCGCAGAGATGCTTTTATCTTTCCAAGCGGTGGAGAGACAGGAAAAAGCACAGATTCTCATGTTTGGCATATCTTGGCTTGATTTGTGGCTTGTTTTGAGCCCAAAATTCTCTTTGATACACTTTCCCAAAGGAACGCGATCAGAATCATGTGAGCGCCTGGCGTTCCAATACACTATCTGTGAGAAAGGCCTTGTGAGCATTTGGCACTTTCATCCTAGGAGCTGTGGATCACAAACCATTTCAATGATGTGTTTAGATGCTTCTAAATAATAATAATAATAATAATAATCCTTGCAATTGATATAGCGCTTTTCACGTCCCAAAGCGCTTCACAGAAGACACTGTAAAGTGAATTGACTGTATATTTGTGGGTGAACGCAGCAGCCAATTGTGCACAGCAATGTCCCACAAACAGTCGTAGATTGAAAATGACCAATTTATTATTACTTTGGGTTTTGGAGGGATTATTATTAGGCTCTGTGTGGAGTAAGGAAACTTGCCCAAAGTTTCGCCCTCTGCCTGGAATTGAACTCAGGTCTCTCGCTCGCAAAGCGAGTGCTCTAACCACTGAGCTACAGGAACTCCACACAGGACTCTAAAGTAGCCGATTATTCAGCCGAGTAGAATGAAAAAGGAAAGATCCAAATGCAGTGATGGAGCACACAATTCTAAGGCTCAAACTAGTACATTTTCAAATTACAATATTAGTAGCGTGGCTTGCATTCGCTTGTGTGTACAGTGATAAACCTACAGAGGGTCCAAATGGCATTCCTCTATAATAATAATAATCCTTGCATTTGATATAGCACCTTATCACGTCTCAAAGCGCTTCGCAGCCAATTGTGCACAGCAGTGTCCCACAACTAATTGTGGATTGAGTGACAACATTATTATTATTATGATTATCTATTTTTTATTATTATTTTTAAAACTGGCTGCCTTTGAATTCCTAGGTGGCTGCCTGAGCGTTTTCAGACGTTCTTTTGTGTAAATGTTTCCCCATAAATGCAGGAATGTAGGTTATTGTAAATGCAGAAATGCAGGTTATTTTTTTTCAGTAAGTTTTTTTTTCGTTCATGACCTTTCATTGGTTAAATTGGCTTTTTAAAAAAAATTGCCACACATTTATGAGCAGTCGCTATGGTAAAAGGTGCATTAAACACAGACTAATAGACCTTTACCAGATCAAATGAGAACACTTAATGTTGTAGTAGGATTATTCCCACCTGCTAAAAAAAGTTAGATGAATCAATGATGAACTGTGCATCATTGTTCAACAATTTTTTTCAGAAGTTTTATACTGAGCCTTCAAAACATTCTGGGCTACATTGAGCAAAATTGTTGCTGGAGGCTGTTAGACGACGCCAGGCTGATCTAAGTTATGGCCCTTGGGCTGGAACTTTGTGATCAGCCCTTGTAGGATAAAACTAGCAAGAGATTTAAGAGGATTTTTGCACAAGAATACGTTTTTGCGACCCGAAAATTCCCGTGGCCGTTATAAACAAGACGTTGATCAGCGGGAGAATGCTGCTTTAATAAAGATGGCAGTGGGAGGGACAATTAGGCTTCAGTAAGGATGACAGTTGGAGAGAACTGAGAATAGATAATATGATGCATCAAAAGAATGGAACTCTTTGCTCCCAAACTTTGGAACTCCAGCTCACAGTCCCTTCGCCTCGCTCGCTCGCTTCGCTCCCTCGTCTCCTTCAAGGCCCATCTCAAGAGCTTCCTCTTCAACTGTGCCTTCTGTCAGCCTCCTACCCTCCACCCTCCCCGCCCTCCACCCCTCCTGATCCCAACCCCCAGCTCGGGTCCAAATCCCTGACTGTCCAGCGCCTTGGGACGTCCTCCCAACGTGAAAGGTGCCGTGTAAATGTCATTCGTTGTTGTTTTTGTTGTTTATTCACAGAAAAATATGAGATGAAAGTTGTCTCTACTGCAAAAAAATTATTTGCGCAGTCACACAGTTTACCGTATGTATGTCCTTTATTATGTGGAGTCCTGTAGCTCAGTGGTTAGAGCACCTGCTTTGCAAGTGAGAGACCTGAGTTCAATCCCAGGCAGAGGGCGAAACCTTGGGCAAGTTTCCTTACTCCACACAGAGCCTAATAATAATCCTCCAAAACGCAAAACAATAATAAATTGGTCATTTTCAATCTACGACTGTTTGTGGGACATTGCTGTGCGCAATTGGCTGCCGCGTTCACCCACAAATATAGTCAATTCACTTTACAGTGTGTTCTGTGAAGTGCTTTGGGACGTCCTCCCGACGTGAAAAGCGCTATATCAAATGCGAGGATTATTATTATTATTATGCACAGAAAAGTATTTTCTTTCTTTCATAACGTTTGAGCTTGTTATTTAAAGTTTATGACAGAAATTGTTAAATTGTATGGATTAAATTCCTGCTCACTTTGCTTTCCATACAAAATTGCTTGTTTCCGTATTGTGGAACACCTTTTTAATTAGGAAACGATCAATTAGAACGGTTGTGGTTTTAGAAGCATTATACCGTATAAAGGACTGCATTTTGCAGGCGGTGCGATAGTTTAGTATCAAAGCATCGAAGTCACGCACAGAATCTGAATACAAATCCCAAGTTTGATTACAATCCCGGTTCATTCTCACCTGCAGATTTGCACCTCTTAGTGTATAATTGTAGAATAGCACTTGCGCTGTTGTGATGAGGCTTGTGGGCTAATTGAAGGACCAAATATGGTAGCAGGAATCTAAAGATGGGGTGGGGTGGGGGGTGGGGGTGGGGGGTGGGGGTGGAGGGGAAATAAAGCCAGTTTTACTCATTTATAATTTTGTTTCTGTAAATCGTTTATATATAAACGTCCTGTGCAAGACATAGGTCATGTCGTGGGGCGTTTTTTCGAATGTAAATCAGGAACAGCGAGCCATTGCTTCAGATCGCTTAAGGTGTGTGTAAACAGTATGCATCTACTTAAAACTAACATATCCTATAAAAATGTGAATTCGTCTTTAGTATTCAGCCAGCCTGACTTTTTGAATTTGCTTCAAAGTTGATGCAACGTTTATAATAATAATCCTTGCTACAGCACCGTATCTCGTCTTCAAGACGTCTCAAAGCGCTTCACGGAATATACTGTAAAGCGAATTGACTGCGCATTTTTGTGGGCAAAACGCAGCAGCCGATTGCACACAGCAGCGTCCCCACAAACAGGTCACGGGTAAATGTATGTGTTTATACGCAGAATCATTTAGAACTATTGCAGACTTGAAAATTGTAATCACAAAAAGCAAATTCAAACCTGGATTAGTTTCTTCAATTAAACTGGCCTTTTCAACAACACTGTGAAATAATTCAGGCATGATATCTCCGTGTTCACTGACATTTTGGTATAATTTCATGTTGAAAATGTGAAAACCAGTTATCAGTGCGGTTAAATCCCACACTAAGTACCTCTATACAAACACGAACACGTAGCAACCACTTTGTTAAAGAAAAATCTGAGAAGATGTCCTTTTTCCTCAAACTCAGAAGATAGTGAGTTCCCATAAATGGTTATTCCCTATGTCCAAACAGATAGAATATTTAATTTCTATGTTTCATATCTTCTTTCTTCTGCTTTGCAAAAAAAACAGTCGTTTTTTTCAGTCAGTAGAAAAAATATAGATTGTTCTACTGTACTGCTGTGCGCAATTGGCTTCCGCTCTTCACCCACAAAATATACAGTCAATTCACTTTACAATATATTCTGTGAAGCACTTTGAGACATATGGAAGGCACTACATCAAATGCAAGGATTATTATTATTATTATTAACACTTGTTTACAAAAGATTCACACAAATAAATTACAAAGTCACCTTTTCACTATTGATATTGATACAGGGTTTGGTACAAGCAAATGTTTATTCCAAACACATCATCTTCTGACAGACTCCACACGCAGCTTGTTTTTGTCCTTTTTCTGTTTTATTGTCAAATAATCTGACGCTTTGTAATGACACAAATGAAATCAAAGAATGGTTGAGGCACTGCTGAATTCTTCTCACCTAATTCGGTGACGGATAGGATTAATCCACAGTAAAAGCCTATACTTAAAGAGCACATTCCACTCCACAACATCAGACTTGATCTTCTAATTGTGATAATGAACGGTCAATGTAGCATATGCTATAATCAGACTACAATACCTCAAACTGATTAAAATATTTTCCTGTGCCTGGTACTTTACTCAGCTCTCTCGCACTCAACTCAAAACACACTGAACTAATCACTGAAGTTAGGTAATGGACTCCTATAAGGAACAACATAACTCAGATGAAGTGACTGTGTTCATCTGTCGTATTTTATAATATTCACTTTATTTGGTTTTATAGTTTGGATCTTTCATTTTTCCTCATCTGAATCGCAGGTAGGTATCAAATGATTATAAAGCACATACATTTATGCATTCAATAGAAGTGTCTGTCTGTCTGTCTGTCTGTCTGTCTGTCAGTTTGTGACTGCTTTTATCATCTGAACCATTATGGCTCAAAACAGAGTCATTATTTTTCACCAAAACAAAAGTCATTTTGAATGAGAAGTGAATGTTTTATTTTTTTTTCTATGTAGTATCATGGGATCAGAACCAGAACATCACAAGGCAGGTATTAGGAAAGAAAAAAAGGGATTTAAGATGTGGATTAGTGGGAATTAAAATGTGCACTAAATATGATAAATTAATGTGACATTTGTGCAGCCCAGTGAATTATACAGAGAGTAGTTTTAGAAATTAATTATTTAGAAATAAGCCCTAATATCACTATTCTTCCCAAAGATAGCAGATAAATTGCAATCAATGTATTAACTGAATTTTTCTTTCTCAAATTGTTTTTGCCCACAAAACATACAGTCAATTCACTTTACAGTCTATCCATGAAGCCCTTTGAGACGTCTTGAAGATGTGATAAGGCACTGCATCAAATGCAAGCATGATTAGCATTATATATTATTATAAATTATCATATATTATTATAACCATTTTTAGTATTCTAAATAACATTTGCGATAGTGCCACCCACTGGTAGAAAAAAAGCTCATATGAAAAATGTAATAAATGATGGAAAAATACATACAATATTCAACACATGGCATAATGAATTCTAAACTACATCACCTGCAAAAGGATTTGTAAATAGTCCGTGCAATGGTCGGTATCTGCATCAAAAGAAATTAACAATGTTCCAATAAAACACTCGCGTGTAAATGGGTGAAAGGAATAGTTGGTACTTGGTGATGGGGAGGGTTAATGTGTTGAATAGTGTTATCTGTTCCTCTATAGAGGCTCAGGATAAACTCTATGCGGTAGGGGAGGGGAGGGGACGGGAGGAGCTGAATTTCCATAACAGGTTTTCCTCAGTCATTTGTTAACATCATTCAGGCTTTAACAAACAACACATGTACAGGGTTTGGTAACTGAAGGCAATGCATAATCAGTCTGTCTCCTTGCCAGAGCCAGACACAGCACTGACCATGGATAGTCACAGTGTGGAGGAGAGGCAGGCGCAGGAGAACTATCAACAGGTAGGTTTGTGTCTTTTGCTACTTGTGAACCCCAGCAATTGTCCACCTCTGACAACAAGTGGAGTCCTGTAGCTCAGTGGTCAGTACACTTGCCTCGCAAGCGAGCGGACCCGGGTTCGATTCCCGGGCAGGGCAAAATGTTGGGCCAGTTTCCTTACTCCACACACGCACCTCTGGTTATCTCACAGTGAGCAAGAACCCGGTTGTTGGTCGATTGGTGGATTACTTTTCTGGGGGTAATAATCCCCTTAAAACAAAAATAAATTTGAAAAATAATAATAATAATTTGATCACTCTAATCCACGACTGCTTGATGTATTCAAAGAGAGAACGAGAGAAAAGGAAAATATAAGAGTACTTTAACGTGCAATTATTATTGAACAGTGCAAGGGGGACAAGTGCATTTATATTATATATTCCTTATACTGTACGTGCAGAATTAGTTTGCATACAGATTGAGCGAGCTGGTGTTTCTGACAGAACCTATCCTGACTGTGTATGGTTCTTGCTAGCAGGTGTTTGATACAGATGATAAAAAGGCTTTGGTTTCCAAGGAGAACACAGCAGAGAAGAAAAGCAGCCCTTCATCAGCGAGTTTCAATGTGATAAACTCTATCATTGGCTCCGGGATCATTGGTAAAACACACGTTTTATTCTCTCTCTCTCTCTAAACGCCAGCCACTTTAGCAAACAGCACCCTGCGATGTGACTGGGATACTGTGTATAGCTCTATCTGGGGGGCCATGAAAGGATTATTATTATTATTATGAAAGTAGATCATTTACACGTGATGTTGGGCAACAGACACAATGCTCCCCACATCCCCTTCGTTAATCATTTAGACGTTGATTTCCATGCAAACATAGACAATAATCGGAGTGCTGGACAAGCTTTATTATATGTTGACTGGCAGGAAAGACCGAGTAAGTGAGGAAAACAAAAAAATAATCATTTGACTCTGCTCAGGAAGTTACAGACTTAACAGGAGACTTGTTAAACAACAACAGATTGCATTTGGGTAGCGCCTTTCACGTCGGAAGGACGTCCCCAGGCGCTGGATAATACTTTTGTTCGGGGTATAATACTATTTTTACGTTTGCTGCCAGGATTGCCTTACTCATTGAAGCAAGCCGGTTTCCCTCTAGGAATATTGCTGCTCATTTTGGTGTCGTATATAACAGGTAATACTCTGCAGGGAACTGTTTAATCGCTGTAACAGTAATTGGGGGAGTGGTGGTGGTGGTGGGTGGAGATATAGTTGAGTTGGCTCCAGGGTGACGTGCTTGACAATCAATGTCAGAATCAAGTCAACCCTATGTGACAATCTGGTCCACAGTATTCCAGGACACTGCTGCTGGCAGCACAGCCCAGCCTGGCGCATCGGCAGGACAGAGGATAGACCTGTCACTAACAGCATGGATTCTTTCCTCTCAGCTCTTATTAACCCTGCAGGCCAAAGCCCTAACTAATGGGTAGGGTGGTCTTAACTGGACAAGCAGTCAGAAGCTTGCGCTCTCAATGGCCAAGCTTCGGGGCTCGAGTTGGTTGAACTCAACCGATACCCTAGCCCTCCCTCTGGAGTCCCTTCGGCCAATCTGTGCCTAAGACGCTCTTGAATTAAGGGAACAAGGGGCATCAAACAGGGAGAGGTTTCACATTCCATTCTATGTGTAAATGGTATTAACACATGTGAAACTCATCTTAGTTTGAATACTCTTTCGTACAGTAAGGTGGGTTTTCGCTCATGTCAGATACACCAAAAATTGTCATTTGAATATTTTAGAATGCTTTCAAATTGTATTAATGGAAATAAATGTGTTGTTCCTGCCCAGATTATTCTATCATACTGTTGATCAAAGTAGGAAACCTGTCTGGAACCAGCACGTATCAGTCTCTGGTGAACCAAGCCTTTGGGATTGTTGGCTACGTGATCCTGTCAATCCTGCAGTTCCTGTATCCTTTTATTGGTAAGAAATTGGTAAGAGCTGGGGGGGAGGTGATCGTAGGTACAGTTCAAGAGGAAGGTCTTCGTCTTGACCTGAAGATGCAGAAGGAGGGAACAAGGCGGAGGGATAGAGGGAGAGTGTTCCAGAGTTTGGGGGTTAGTGGCTGAAAGTGCGGCCACCGATGGTGGAACTAAGCTCTAACACAATCCACAATGGCTATGCCTAGTTTTGATCTCTTACTATCATAGACTAGAATGGTAGAATTATACAATTATCATCACAATCAATATCATTGGTACGTCAAAGTTGTCTCTTCCGATCATTGTTGAGTAGATTTCACTAAGCATCAGATTGTTCACCCACCAATGATATGTTGCAATAGTAATCCTCATTTCCTAATCAAGGATTGGGCTGAGTTTATTATGTATGTAATTTTATCCTCACTCAAGGGAAGATTCCATTCAGCATTATTCACTGTGTTTTGGATTGGTATTGTTGTTCGATGTTGCTGTAAATAATACAAATGTCCCGCCATTGTTATCACTCACCACAACGTGACAGCCTGACTTTGCAACAAAGGGAAGATTAATAATTCAGAAATGTCAGTGATCATAATCTTATTAAAACCATTTGCAGTCGCACAACGTTTCGCCCACAAAATACAGTCAATTCACATTACAGTATATTCTGCGAAACGCTTTGAGACGTCTCAAATACGTGATAAAGCCCTATATCAAGTGTAAGGATTATTTATTATTATTATTATAAAACATACAACAATTTACTGTCTTTTACTCAAATGGGAACTGCAATATTTATGATTACAGAAAGTACCCAAATATTCATGAGAAAGATCGCAAGAGAAAGTTAATTTTGATTCCCTTGCTTTCAGAGTAAAATGCACAGATATCTTAATGCAAGGGTTTGTTCCTCTTCAGGTATCTATATGAATGTTTATTAGTTTTAAAATGTGCTCAATTTAATTTTCAGCCATGATAAGCTACAACATAATAACTGGAGATACATTAACAAAAGTTTTGCAGAGAATCCCCGGAGGTAAGTAACGTAGTAATTAAAACCAATTTACCTTTGAATCAGATGTTAAGTGTGTTGAAACAAATATTATTCAAACATATCCCAAATAATCATAATTTGGTCACTCAATCCACGACTGTTTGTAGGACACTGCTGTGCGCAACTGGCTGCCAGATTTCGACCCCAAAATATACAGTCACTACACTTTACAGTATATTCTGTGAAGCTCTTTGAGACGTCTCGAAAACATGATAAGGCGCTATATCAAATGCAAGGATTATTTATTTATTTATTTGTTTGTTTGTTATTAATCGGTCTGTCTCGTTTGTTTGTTCCTCCCGACGTGAAAGACGCTATACAAATGTAATTTGTTGTTGTTGTTTTCAGTGGGTCCCGACAGCATATTGGCAGAGAGGCATTTTGTCATTATGACAATAACTATTCTGTTCACGTTACCTCTGTCACTGTATCGCAGTGTCGCTAACTTAGGAAAGGTAACTATCATCTTATCTGGTCCCTAAAATTTCCTTGGCACAGGTTACTATGGGTTTGGAATAAATCTGTATATTAATACCAATTCTCAATTTCTATACTATTTTCAGGTATCGCTTTTGTCGCTGGTTTTAACGTTTGGCATTTTGGCGATAGTGGTCGTCAAAGTTGCAACACTAGGACCACTCATGTAGGTTCCAATATACAAATAATCCGGGTTTACAGCAGAGCTTGGAGTGGAACTCCATCACTCAGGGATTAATTAAAGTGTATTTGTGTGGTGGTCGTGCGTGCTTTTCATGTCCAGAGGATGTCCCAAAGTGCTTCACGGGATATAGTGTGAAGTGGAGTGACTGTGTATTTATAGGCAGCCCAATTACGCACAGCAATATCCACAAACAGCCATGAAACAAATGACCAATTTTATTTTGGAGCTTGTTGGCCAGACACTGAGGGAAACTTTCTTTTCTGATAGCGCTATGGGATCTTTAATGTCCTCCTGAACAGGCAGATGGGACCTTGGTTTAACGTCTCATCTGAAGGACGGCATCGTCAACAATGTTACACCTCCCACACACAGCTCTGCATTAGACAGTTATCTCAGATTAAGTAAATAAATAATTGAAAAAGTCTAACAGAGAAATAATTGACCAAACACTTTGAAGAAAGTACTATTTAATAGTCTTAGACCCAAAGAGGCCTCATGGCTGAGATAGCAGAACCTTAGATTGCACTTGAGTCACTATACATTATGACAAAGAACCATTTAGTTATACATTGTAATCTCCATGACTAAGAATTGAAACTATTATTTGTCCGCAAAGCTATTACGGTGGGTGCATAGAAAATGCTAATCTTTTTACGGTTAAAAGCTTTACGAGTGCAGTAGGGTTTCAGAAACGGATCAATATTTCTTTCCAACCCTTGCGTTTTCTGATTGGCATTAATTATGAAAGACAAATCGATCCCGGCAGTGAATTCTGCAAATGTACACATTCACCGGTGTTTGCTTTGGCTGTGTGCATTTTCATGGCCCTAGGAAATCATCTTCGGTAACTATTTAGACAAGAAGTGGGTAATGAATGTGATTAGACAATAGAATTTTTTAAAAATCGCACAAACTGGAACAGAACAGCCAGTGTGTTTTTCCGTGAAAGGCGTAAAAATACGAAGCTCGTTGCCACAAAGTGCTCAATAAAATGATTTACAATTGATATTTTTGTAACGAAAGTGAAACGTAATGAACTGCGGATGTGGCTCGCAGCATCTGCTTGGGGGAAAAAAACTCTCTGGAATTTATTGCGTAGAAATAAAAGCCTCATTACGATGACCTAATGTATCTATGGCAACCAGAGCTGTCTGACAGAGCTGCACTGAATGTGGCTCAGAATATTGTAGTGAAAGGTTTAATTGCACTTCAACATATTCTCACTTCAAAAAAACAGAAATTATTCTGTGATCTTAAGATAAAATAAATTTGCACTGAAGCTTTAAACAGGAGCAGGTTAGTGATAAAAGCAAGTATGAACGAGCAATTAATTTTGTTTCAGTCCCATCCCCTTTTGTGGTTGAAGGATTAGCATTAGCATGATGTAGCTGGACCTTTCTATCTCACCTATCTCCAAGTCATGGTGCAGAATTCAGGCTGGAGTGGAAGATTTGTCCCATTTGCATTGAAAACACACAGTCACAACACTTCAGAGTACACTCTATGAAGCTCTTTGAGATGTCTCAAAAATGTGATAAGTCGCTGTATCAAATGCAAGGATTATTATTATTATTATTATTATTATTATTATGTAGGTTCATATACAGTACTGAATCACTTGTGTTGTTACTTAACTTTGACATTTACTTTTCAGTCCAGCCACTGAAAATGCCTGGATGTTTGCCCAGCCAAATGCAATTCAAGCAGTTGGGGTGATGTCATTTGGTGAGTACCTAAAGGCCAAATCAATATCAATATTAATCTCTATTCTGATGTCTATACATGTAACAACTTCTACTTTTTCTCCACTAATGGTTGATTAGCGAATCATTTCGAAACATGCCAGTTGTCTTAGAAGACATTCAGTAATATTCTGTATTTAAAGTAGATGCAAATAATTAATGAATAATTCCACACTTTGGTAAAAGGAAGCTCGACCTGTATCCAAAGAAATAAAGCTTTGAAAGGAACATGTGTGTTATATTCCTTGTCCTCCCACACAGTGAAAGTGACAGAGAAAGGACTCTCTGATACAGGAACCCACCTGAATAATTCGCTTATCCTGAATAAGATGCGACGAGATTAATATCTGGTTATGTCTTTACAGCATTTATATGCCATCACAATAGTTTTTTAATTTATGGATCGCTGGAGGAGCCAACAATAAGCAACTGGTCTCGAATCACTCATGCGTCTGTGATCTTTGCCTTGTTCATCAGTTTGCTTTTTGCTACTTGTGGATATGTGACTTTCACAGGTTACACACAAGGTAAGGAAAGCTATCATCATTTACAGCAAGATAATCACTTTCCAGGCTCGATGGGCCAAATATCTTACTATATTTCTAAATTAATAATAATAATAATCCTTGCATTTGGGATAACACCAAATGCAAGGATTTGTATATATATATATGTGTAATATATATATTTGGTATACGTAGTGTGTATCCATTTTTTTTCTTTAAATCAAACGATTTCTAGAAATAAAATAATTAGTTTCAAAATTTTATGAAAAAAATTATCAGACACAACTATACCTTATAATCATTCCCACAAACGATGTTATATTATTTGTTCCAGGAGACATATTTGAAAATTATTGCAGAAATGATAATTGGGCTACTGTAGCAAGATTTCTTTATGGGATCACTATAATTCTGACATTTCCAATTGAATGTTTTGTAACACGGGAGGTAAGTAAATTCCATTCGATTAACATAATACAACTGCTTAAATACTTTGAGAAACTATATTCAATGCCATTTGACTCTTCAAATGACATTGCTCCCTCCTTGGCCTCCTTCAAGGCACGCCTCAAGATCCTCCTCTTCGACTGCATCTTCTGTCACCCTCCTTCCCCCCACCCTCCCCGCCCTCCACCCCTCCTGATCCCAAACCATAAAATGTAATGCAGAATGTATTACATAAAATGTAATGCAGAATGTGGCCCATATTCTCAAAGCACCAAATTCTGTACATCAAGAAACAATTTTGATGATTAATGTGGCCTGGCTTTAATATTTTTTCTAAAATATACTTTATTGCAAGGATTTAGAGACCTCGTTTCTGGGTTAAATGGTTAATAAAGTTACATATATTGCATCGTTCATGTAAAGTAATGCCACGAAAAGTAGTTTAAAGTGAAGATTTCAAGACGTGTTAAAAAAAATCCAAATATCTCTTACAAGGAACCAATCTCTACTTGGCAGTATTAACCTTGCCATGTAGCTCAGTGGTTAGAGCACTCGCTTTGTAAGTGAGAGACCTGAGTTCAATCCCCGGCAGGTCAGGGCCAAACCTTGGGCAAGTTTCCTTACTCCACACAGAGCCTAATAATAATTCCTCCAAAACCAAACAATAATAAATTGGTCATTTTCAATCTACGACTGTTTGTGGGACATTGCTGTGCGCAATTGGCTGCCGCGTTCGCCCACAAATATACAGTCAATTCACTTTACAGTGTGTTCTGTGAAGCGCTTTGGGACGTCCTCCCGACGTGAAAAGCGCTATATCAAATGCAAGGATTATTATTATTATTATTATAAACCCCAGCTCGGGTCCAAATCCCTGACTGTCCAGCGCCTTGGGACGTCCTCCTGACATGAAAGGCTCTGCGTAAGTGTCATTTGTTGATATTGTTGTTGTTGTTGTCATCCGCAGGCACAGGGTAAACGTCCTCCGCAGTTTACATTGCTTTAGAGACAATGTGTACCTAACCTCGTTTGCACAACAATTGCCAGGGCAAAGTGCGTTATGAGATCTGTTTGTCTTCAATCTCCAGGTTATTGGGAATGTGTTTTTCTCTGGGAATCTGACAACCATATTGCACATCACATTGACGGTGTTCATTGTTGCTGCAGCCACAGCCATCTCACTAGCCTATGACTGCCTGGGAATCGTTCTGGAATTAAATGTGAGTATTTATTCAGTGTTTTTGTGATTCCCACCTGATGCCTCAACCAGTAAAACTCGCACAAGACTGATCGCTGTAAATCGTGGCATCGCCCAAGTCGTACATCTGCCCAAGTCCCGTTCAAGAGTCGACATTCTATACAACTTTGACATAACTCAGACTTCGCATAAACTATATTAAATGTACGGTCCCAACCGATACGACCTGTGTGAGGCTTCCTGTATAATGGTTAACTGTGAGACGCTGCTGTGTGCAATTGGAGGTCGCGCTTCGCCCACAGAATATACAGTCACTACACTTTACGGTATATCCTGTGAGGTGCTTTGAGACGTCTTGAAGACGTGATAAGACTCTGTATCAAATGCAAGGATTATTGTGATTGATTGTAAAGATTTCAAAACCTTTCTTGGACTGTGGTTATACCCATTGCTTCCCACAGGGGGTGCTCAGCGCTACTCCTCTGGTGTTCATCATCCCAGCAGCTTGTTATCTCAAGCTCTCCGACCAACCCTGGTATCATCAGGACAGCCTTCAGTCGTGTACCATCCTGATCATTGGTGCCCTGGTGATGATTGTGGGGTTTGTGATGGCTGTCATGTCCCCCCAGGAATGCAGTCATGGAAATGATATGTTTTACTGCCTTCCTTCAAATGTATCTGTACATAATGTCTCAGCCTCCACTTACCAGCCGGTCAGTCAGTCTCCAGCCCTCAGCCGTAGCACCTTGTCAAACGGGTTAAAGTGACTGTCCTGCAATTATGCTTGTTAAGAGATGTGAAGGTTTGCTTTAACATTAGAATGAGCATGTAGTCACTTTTTTTTCAAATAAATATAAACATTCAGTTGTATCAAGACTTGTTCATTCGGGAATAATTGATGTACATTAAAATGCGCTTTTGTTATTAAATATTGTGTCTCCCCCTCTTTGGTATGTGACAGCATGGACATTTTGGGGTTCACTTGATATTGCGCAGGTACTGTACTTATTTATAGCATCAGATGCTGATACTACAACAACAACAAGAATAAAATGACATTTGCATCGCACCTTTCACGTAGGGAGGAAGTCCCAAGGCACTGGGAACTTTTCCTATTGCTACTCTTGCAAATAGGAATCAACAAATTGTATGATTATAACCAACAAAACTTCATTATCCATCCAGCAGACGCTTAATCATCACACGAAGACTGCAGCTATTCTGAACATCGGTATCATTGCAGTATTTTCTAGGTGCATTCCAAAATATATGCCAAGCGAGAGGACCCGGGTTCGATTCCCGGGCAGGGCCAAACCTTAGGCAAGTTTCCTTACTCCACAAGCCTCTGTTTACCTCGCTGTAAGTTGGAACCCGGATGTTAGTGAATTGGCGGATCGCTTTTCCGGGGTAATAATCCCTATTAAAAAAAATTGTGTAGTGCCGGTGTATTTTGTGTCTATTTTTTATCTATTTCTCTCGTTTTTGACCTCAGATGGTACTCATATACTTTTGTTACCAAGACACCACATAACTAAGGCTGATAAATATGAGGCAGAAATAGTCCTTTCCCACGTGCTTTCATTCCAGTGACTGATAACTGAAGAATTTAATCCCCCGCTCGTTCATATATACAAACTCGCCCTCACCTTGGCTGTGTGTTCAGACAGAAATAAAATTATCTTGTTTTTCAAATATTCCAGTATATAGGCCTAGTCAAGGGATGATATTCAGAGGTTTACATTAATATACCACAATAATCCTTGCATTTGATATAGCGCCTTATCATGTTGTTGAGAAGTCTCAAAGCGCTTCACAGAATATTGTAAAGTGGAGTGACTGGGTACTTTGTGGGCGAAACACAGCAGCCAATTGTGCACAGCAACCAGAACTGTAAATCATAATTTGAGTTATATTGTCTTTAAAGACTTAATAAAATATCCCAGTGGGTCTATCGTACAATTATTAAATGGAGAAACAATGGGTATGTACATGGCCAAGATATGATTAACATTATTACGAGAGAAGGAATTCCACTCAAAGTAGGCAATTACATAGTTGGAGGTGATTGTAAGTGGTCTTTGACAATCTGATAATTACTTTGGAACAACATTTATGGTTAAAGTTTAGAGTAAATGTGATGCAGAGCAGATGTAAGATCCTATTTGCCAGAATAACAGTAATCAGTAATCATGTTGGGTTCAGTTTGTGAGCATATGTTAATTATCAATTGTGAATTGCTTTGTGACGTTTTCTAGAATAATTGCAAAGCAGCCACTAATACCCGAAGCTTTGGAACTCCCTCCCCCAATCCTTCCTTCTTGCCCCTTCCCTCCCTCTTTTAGATCACGACTGAAGATCTTCTTCTTTGACCGTGTTTACGGTCAACTCCTCCCGCCCGCTGGCTTGGCGTCAGGTTCCGTCACCCTTAAGAGCTCTGGGACGCTGCACTGCATGAAGGCACTACATAAACGCAAGTTGTTGTGGTTGTTTTTGTTGTTGTTTTGCTGATGGCATGCATTTCTTGTGCACCTTAACTAATATTTCGCCCACGCAGTCAGTTCAATTTACGGAAATATGATGAGAATAGGTGTGTGTCAACCTGCCTAAGATTGCATACCTGCTACATCCACCCTAGTCGGCTGAAACGTTTTGACTTTCAATGTTGGAATGAAAGGAAGAAAGTGAGTACAGGGGAGAAATATGAGCAGTCACACACATCGACTCGCTCACTCACTCGCTCACTCACTCGCTCAAGGGACTCACTGGCTCTCATCCCATTTGTTTAGCACCTAAAGGTACACCAGAGAAAAATACAAGGCCAAATTGTTATAGAAACTGTATGTATTACATAATAGTTTACCAGAGAAAGCATTTACTTTGCTAAGCCTGAAGGGTTAATGATAAGAACATAATAAAACTGTGGTTGGAATACAACCTACTGTCTCAGGTGTATTCTTTTGCACATTTCTCCTACGAACACATCATGCAATGGGCAGAAGGAATGCGATTTGTTTCTTGTCACAATGAATACAATAATAATCCTTGCATTTGATACAGCGCCTTATCACGTCTTCGAGACGTCTCAAAGCGCTTCACAGAGTATACCGCACAGTGAATTAACTATACGTTATGGGCGAAATGCGGCAGCCAATTACGCACAGCAGCGTCCCACAAACAGTTGTGTATTGAGTAACCAAATTATTATTTAAATTGATGTTAAATGGATATTTACCCCCAGAAAGCGATCTGCCAATCGACTAACAACCAGGCACCTACTCACTGCTTGGTAAACAGATGTGCGTGGAGTAAGGAAATTGAACCCAGGTCCTCTCACTTGTGAGACAAGGCTCCAACCAATTCGCTGCAGGAAGTGAGTCAAGACTGCACAGATTTGGGACACGACATATGCAAGTGACTCAGGATGGTGGAAGGCGAGTTAGATGGACCGTGGTCTTCTTTCGTCTCGGAACTCTTATGTTCTTATGTTCTAGATCCAGTTTAAGTTCCAACATCTATTAGAGAGGGGGAGAGGGATTTTAATCGCATTAATGTAAGCTGGATTCTAACCTTTATCCCAGAGGTGAAAGCATAGCATTTTACCCACTCTCCCAACTAATATATATATATGTATATATTTCCCAAAACTTAAGAGACACTGTAAAGTATTAACAGAAATGGTCACTCGCAGGATTGACACAGTAAACGGGACAATCCAATCCAGGTTCAGTAAAACGTGTTTAAGATGGGAGAGAGAGAAGGGCAAAAATCCATGAGATGAAATATGTGCAGTGAAATGACAACTGTAGCCTTGCTGTACTTTTGTAACGCTTCCAATTAATAACGATAATCATTGCATTTGACATAAATCACATTGTTGAGACGTTTCAAAGCGCTTCACAGAATATACTGCAGAGCGGATTGACTTGGTACCTGGTGGGTGAAATGCGGCAGCAAATTGCACACAGCAGCGTCCCACAAACTGTCGTGGATTGAGTGACCAAATTATCATTGTTAATAATAATAATCCTTGAATTTGTGATAGCCTTATCACGAGACGTCTCAAAGCGCTTCACAGAATACACTGTAAAGTGAATTGACTGTTTGTTTTGTGGGCGAAACGCAAATAGTTTAGCCACTGTCAGCATAATAATAAGCAAAAGCTTCTAAGGTCCTAGTGGCAGGAATGAAGAAATCCTACAGGAACACACACACACACACACAGAAAGTTAATAATCTCTCCAGATCCCTGCAAATGTCGGTCAGTGTGTATTGTTGCTGACTCTCTGAGCACTGAGACTGTGTGTATGTCTGTCTCTCTCTCTCTAGACAGTGTGTGTGTGTGTGTGTGTGTCTCTCAGGGCAGTGTGTGTGTGTCTCTGTGTCTGTCTCTCTCTCAGGGCAGTGTGTGTCTCTCTCTCTCAGTGTGTGTCTCTCAGTGTGTGACTCTCAGTGTGTGAGTGTGTGTGTCTCTGTGTCTGTGTGTGTCTCTCAGTGTGTGTCTCTCTCTCTCTCTCAGTGTGTGTGTCTCTGTGTCTGTGTGTGTCTCTCAGTGTGTGTGTGTGTCTCTCTCTCTCTCTCTCTCAGTGTGTGTGTCTCTGTGTCTGTGTGTGTCTCTCTCTCAGTGTGTGTGTGTCTGTGTGTCTCTGTGTGTGTCTGTGTGTCTGTGTGTCTCTGTGTGTGTCTGTGTGTCTCTGTGTGTGTGTGTGTCTGTGTGCCTCTCTGTGTGTCAGTGTGTGTGTGTCAGTGTGTGTGTGCCTCTCTCTCTCTCTGTGTGAGTGTGTGTGTGTGTCTCTCTGTGTGTGTGTGTCTGTGTGTGTGTGTCTGTGTGCCTCTCTGTGTGTGTGTCAGTGTGTGTGTGCCTCTCTCTCTCTCTGTGTGAGTGTGTGTGTATGTCTCTCTGTGTGTGTATGTCTGTGTGTGTGTGTCTGTGTGCCTCTCTGTGTGTGTGTGTCTGTGTGTCAGTGTGTGTGTGTGTCAGTGTGTGTGTGTGTGTCAGTGTGTGTGTGTGTCAGTGGGTGTGTGTGTGTGTGTGTGTGTGTCAGTGTGTGTGTGTGTCAGTGTGTGTGTGTCAGTGTGTGTGTGTGTCAGTGTGTGTGTCAGTGTGCGTGTGTGTCAGTGTGTGTGTGTGTGTGTGTGTCAGTGTGTGTGTGTGTGTGTGTGTCAGTGTGTGTGTGTGTGTGTCAGTGTGTGTGTGTGTCAGTGTGTGTGTGTGTGTGTGTGTGTCAGTGTGTGTGTGTGTGTCAGTGTGTGTGTGTCAGTGTGTGTGTCAGTGTGTGTGTGTGTGTGTCAGTGTGTGTGTGTGTGTCAGTGTGTGTGTGTGTCAGTGTGTGTGTGTGTCAGTGTGTGTGTGTGTGTGTCAGTGTGTGTGTCAGTGTGTGTGTGTCAGTGTGTGTGTGTGTGTCAGTGTGTGTGTGTGTCAGTGTGTGTGTGTGTGTGTGTCAGTGTGTGTGTGTGTGTGTGTGTCAGTGTGTGTGTGTGTGTCAGTGTGTGTGTGTGTGTGTGTCAGTGTGTGTGTGTCAGTGTGTGTGAGTGTGTGTGTCAGTGTGTGTGAGTGTGTGTGTGTCAGTGTGTGTGTGTGTGTCAGTGTGTGTGTGTGTGTGTGTGTGTCAGTGTGTCAGTGTGTGTCAGTGTGTGTGTGTGTGTGTCAGTGTGTGTGTGTGTGTGTCAGTGTGTGTGTGTGTGTGTGTGTGTGTCAGTGTGTGTGTGTCAGTGTGTGTGTGTGTGTGTGTGTGTGTGTCAGTGTGTGTGTGTGTGTGTCAGTGTGTGTGTGTGTGTGTCAGTGTGTGTGTGTGTGTGTCAGTGTGTGTGTGTGTGTCAGTGT